CATTACAAGCCAAATAAGTTGTTCCTGGCAAATGGGCCCTCTGTTGCAGGAGCATTAGCATTTTAATGCAACTAAAGAGAAGTTGGATTGACTGTAATTTAGTATATAGATCCCTGACCTTATGCAGTCCCTTCTCCAGTGTTCTTTGGGGACCAACTGCAGTTACACAGTTCACTTTGGAATCTAATTGAATTTACACACAGTAATATAGTCTTGTCACAGCAATTTTGTAGTGTAGTCACTACAAAAGTCCTGCTCAATTCCTTTATAGGTGTACAAAAACTACAATTAAAAAGCTACATAACATGTAGAACTGGCAACCTTCTCAGAGCTCTGGGTTGTATCAGTTGGCTCAGTGCGCTTCTTAATACCAGTTGGTGGGAATTGCACATGGGCAGAAGGCCATTGTGCTCAGGCTTCCCACAGACATATGTTTGGCTACTGTGAGAATCGGATGATGGACTACACAGACCATTGGCCTAACCCAGCAGATTCTTCTTATTTTACCCTTCAGAACAGCATAGGAAGCAATGCCTGGAGCAGGGAGAATTGCCAAAAAATGACTCCCCTGTCCATTCCACTGAAAGAAGCTTTGGATGGATTGGAAAACCTTTGAAAACATCTAGAACCATTCAGGGACGTTGCAGGTTCAGGGGAAACTGTCCTTGCCCACAAATTATAATTTCCCAAATCACCCCAGCTCTTCCTCTCCTCCTCCAAAACAAATCTGCCTTCTAAATTACATTGGGGTGGGGAGATTCTTTTTCTGAAAGACAGTCACAACCTGGCCTACTTGGTGGCAAGGAAGTGGAGAGCTGTATGCACACCACTGCTCTAGAGACTAGGATTTTAAATTATTTGTAAAAGATAATTTGTGTGAGAGCAGGAAACCATCAGTGCAGGCACTGGAAACAAGCTAGGAACAGGAGGCAGCTGTTTGGAATGTAAAAAAGAATCATCACCCTGATCTTTGATTCACCCTGTTTAGCAACTTCACCCCTGAAAGAGATTAAATGAAACTTTGCCTACGTCCTTGCTTAGCAAGGACAAGGCTTTTGATAAGACTTTACATCAGAAAGACACATTTTCAAAGACAAGGCCAATACCTAGAGCCAAAGAGTCGTCACACAGAAACAGGCAAAATCCTCAGTTCCTTCACACTTGTGTTTGTTAATTCAAATGCACACTTTTTTAAAAAATGCAATTTAAATTGATTGGTATCAGTTGGCTATGATCCAAATTGCAGGTAGCTATATTGTCAGACATACTGACAACATTTTTAAAAGAGTGATCAAGGGAGGCTGAAGATTGTCTTTGGACCCTTCCAAAGGCATTCATGATAAATAGGTTTTGCAACCCAATGAACCCAGCAAACCAACACCCCTCCCCTGCACCAGGCTGGGAGGCGTGAGGTTGGATTGTGCAGGTATCCACTGGCCAAGTCAGCCTTCTGCCAATCACCACCAATGGAATAACACACAGAGCAGGCCGGGTCTCTTTGCCAGCTCTAGGGCTGGGAATAGGGAGGTGACAAAGCCCCACCCATCAGCAGCTGGTGTTTGGATTGCAGGTCAAATATTTATTGTTGTTGTTGTTACCAAATAGCTGTTTCTGTAATTACAAAAGTAGTTTGGGGGATTTAGGTTTAAGGACAGCTTGAGAGAGAGTCTGAATGAGTAAGAGGAGGTCAAATGCTGGTTCAGAGGCAAGAGAGGGAATGTCACTGGGGTTAATAGTTGTGGGGGAGGCCTGACCACCTTGCCATCTCCTGCAACATCTTGTGTTTCCACTTGAGATTGTAATTAAGGAAAGCAACAGAGTTGACAATTAGGAAAAGTAGTTTGGTTCGTTTTCTTGTTCCCCTTAATGACTAAATCATAGTTCTTCGTTTAAAAAGAAGTCAATCCTTTTGGCAAAAGTTTCTCCTCAGCTTGATCCTCAGAGAGAGAGTAATTGATCTTGTGCACCATCATCAGATGATTCCTGTCATCTCCTCAGCTGACACAGCACCTGCTGCTTGGTGCAGCACTGAAGTTTCTTCCTCTCAGAAGTGCAGTAAATCCTTCAAAATATTGTGAGCTAAGAGAAAACATGTTTTTCACTCCCACATGCACCTCTGAGTACTGGTAGCGATATAATTATAGGCACTTTCTCTCTCACACACAGCGGGAACAAGAATCCTATCAGTCTCTTTATATCCCTAATAGTAGGTTTATGTGAAGCAGTTACATCTCTGCTGGAAAAAATTAACCTATTTTTTTAAACAGCACCTTTTTCTGTGCTTGTGATGTTGCAGTAAATGAAACTTGATTCAGCCAATGAAACTTAAAGTCTTGAGTTATGTAAACAAAAGGAGATTAGTGAGGTGGGTCACTCCTTGTCTGAGAATATCTCCTTAGAATCATAGAATTGGAAGGGATCCCAAGGGTCATCTAGTCCAACCCCCTGCAGTAATCTCAACTAAAGCATCCATGACAGACGGTCTCTTGTGGGAGTGTTCCACTGTCGAACAGCTCTTACCATCACAAAGTTCTTCCTGTTATTCAGTTGGAATCTCCTTTCTTGTAACTTGAAGCCATTAACAAGCCCTAGCAATCCTCAACAAGCCCTACGACAGCTGATGGGAGTTGTAGAAGACCAGAGTCAGGACAGGTTTGTTTTTCTATTTTATCTGCATGACTTCCTTCAATGCTATATCATAAATAGCTTGTGCAGTCTGCATTTACCCCTTGAATAGGAAATATTCTCCTTCTAGGGTTGTTGTTAAAGTTAGTGTCTTTTTAGAGAAGCATTTTACAATATACTTCATATTGGCTGTTTTGTTGCCACTTTTCTTAACACTGGGTCTGTGTATGCAGAATACTGTATTTTTCGCCCTATAGGACGCACCGGCCCATAGGATGCACCTATATTTGGGGGGGGGGAATAAAGGGGAAAAAAATATTTCCCCCCCCAGCCCGAGCTTCCCCCAACCCCAGCCCCCAGAACGGGTCCCAGAGCGATGGCGAAGCTGCGCGCAGCATTGGCATCGCTCTGGCAGCTTGCCGGGCTGGGGGGATAGCTTCCTGAAGCCTGGAGAGCAAGAGGGGTCGGTGCGCACTGACCCCTCTCGCTCTCCAGGCTTCAGCGAAAGCCTGCATTCGCCCCATAGGACGCACACACATTTCCCCTTCATTTTTGGAGGGGAAAAAGTGCGTCCTATAGGGCGAAAAATACGGTATTTTATTCTGGAATCCATGGAGACTTGAGTACTACTTTTCTACAACTGTTGTATTTTTTTGCCTCTGAAAAGTGATTCTTGAGAAACTTCCATAAAGGAAAGCTCTTTGAAGATTCATTCTGCAATACAGTATAGTCATACCTCAGGATAAATGTGCTTCAGGTTGAGCACTTTCAGGTTATGCTCCGCGGTGACCTGGAAGTAACAGAGTGTGTTACTTCCGGGTTTCGCCACATGCGCAGACACTCAAAATGACATCATGCGCAGTAGCCGCGAATCGCGACCCGCAGATGCACAGTCGTGGGTTACACTCTACTCAGGATGAGAACGGGGCTCTGCAACGGATCCTGTTCGCATCCAGAGGTACCTGTACACCATACTGTGTCCATTTGAAATTGGAGGAAAACAGATGTAGGTGGTTCTGGCAATGAGGAAGGTGGCCGGGTTGTATCCACACAAATAATGTTGGTGGGCATATACCGAGCTCACAATCACACTTCTTCATTTGCTGGGGGCATGTGCAAGGAGGAAAAGGTGTGGAAACCTAATCAAGGGGAGAGTTTAACTACACCCACCTTGGTGGGCAACAGGATTTAAAACCAGTCTATATTGAAAGCAGCATGTTGAGGATTGAGTATGAATGATTCTGGATTGAGGGAAGCGACATTTTTGTGCTATAGATAGGTATACGGCTTTATAGAAAAGAACAAAACAGCAGAGAAGTGACCTTTGACATCAATTGTTATTCACGAAGCATCAAAAATGCATTTTAAGAAATTAATTCAACCTAAAACAAGCCAACACAGCCAGTGTTCTTGAAAGGAGGGAGTGTGGACACATAGGAACTGTGATTGCTTTTTATCCAAACATCAAATATTCAGTCTCTGTTACCCCTCCCTGCACCCCATCCCACAGATCAACCTTTCAGATGCTGATATAGGACCCAATCATGGTTTCCAGATAGTTTTAAGCTTATAAAGCATCTTGGACAGAAAACCGTGGATGTTTTCAAACATAATGAGATAGGATCACAAATTGTCTTAATAGATTGTTTGCAGTCAAGCAGTGCAGATTTAGAACAATCACATAGTAAAAAGGTAAATTAATAATAATTGGTATATGATTAGTTTTATGATTATGTCATTAATGGAACCACTCCAAGCAATGCCTAAGTAATTTACGTTTTGCAAATTTAGTTGAAAACTACAGTAAGTATAGTCGGTTAGATGAGACAAACGAAAGTGAAAATGTAATTATTATAAAACATGCATGATTATATGCTTCTCTATTCTTGTATAGCTTCCATTCATTTCTGGTGAATTGTGTTTGTTTTATAGTGTTTGCTACATGTAGAGTTTCTAATATTTAGCATGTTTTACAATTTATTGGCACAGCCCATTTCAGATACGTGAAGTTCTCAAGCATTTTAATAGTGTGTTCATAACACAAATTCCTGGTAGACTACAACTTGTATTTGTAAAGCTATTTATGTCTCTTTCAATTTCCGAGTAAATGGGTAGGTTCTTGCGAAATGTCAAAATGTGGCTTGGGATGTATGTCAGAAGGAACGTGAACCAACCCAAAGGTTGATGAGCCGGGTTATGAGGAATAGGATGCTTCAGTGGGTGCTAAAAGCTTTTCATTAGTGCTAATGTACACCAAATTAAGCATGCAATTAGACTAAGTGTATTCATCAGGGTGGTGTGTTTTAATAAATGGTTTATTTAATGTGATTGTGTTTTATTGACTTGTGCATTAATTGAATATTTCTTTCTTATAGGACAAGCTTGGCCAATAAAATATACATGGGACGTATAAAACATTAAAGGTCAAAAGAAACATTCCAAGAGCTGAATAGGTGAGAGTTTTGAATTGCCAAAGAGTATTTTCTTATTTCCTCCCCTAACAGTAAGCAAACTGTTTCCCGTTAAGCAAGTATCCCCAACATAATTCCTACAGGAGCATTATGAGGAAAACAGTGTACAGATATGTTGTTTCCAAGCATTTTGCTGTCATCAACATGTTATCCAGTGGTGGGTTAGAAAGTCCCCCCCCCCATGTGGAATTTGTTAATTTTGTTCAAACAAGAATGCTAGTCTCAAAGGGCCATCCGAATTAGCAGCCTGAGAAATGGGGAAGGTCTCATGATTCTAACACACATCTATCTGGCTTTTACAAACTTGACTTTAATCGTGAAGCAATACCTTCCTAATGTTGTACCATAGACCATTGCTGTGAAGTAGATGAAATACAATTTCCTGCTGAATCAAATGATCAGACTTCATGTTATGTCTCCTAAGGCCCACTTTAACCTAACGGATATAATGATAAAGAAGGAAAATGTTTTCCATCATACCTTGTGCTGCATTTGCATAGTCTTCATAGGAATGTCACACTCCTATGTTGAAAGAGGGAGCCTCTTCATTTCCCCCCTGCTGTAAATTTCTGCAGAATAGAAGTCATAACATTCTTGTATGAAGTTGGGGTGAACAATATCTAAATTGGTCTTTATATTCAGTAGCAGCTATGGGTAGTGTGGACACAGAGATCAAAACTGCTCTCTGGGACCCTTTCTCCTATACCTAGTGCAGTGTGAACTCAAGGCAGTATCTGGCCCATCAATATCCAGTTTCTCCAAAAAGTTTAAACTGCAGTGGAGAAAATATTTGGAGTATTGCATTCATGACATGCCATAAGCACAACCACAGAGGCCTAGTTAGAATCATAGGAATAGGGTAGGGTGCAAGTGGGTTGAAATTGATTACATTTGGGGATTATGTTTGCAGGATGCTTCTGCAAATAAAATATGTGTGAATTGCCTCCATCTGTTTCCCTGAAGACCTAATTAACTGCCTGACTTTGGGAGGGACAAGAAAGCATGCTTTGATCCCACTTCAATTGGTGTAAAATCAGTCTAATTCAAATGACCATTGTTACATCAAGCCATAGTCTTCAGTTATTTTCTACTGAAAAACACAACTTTCATTAGTGTCCAGCAACTACAGGTACAGAAAACATAATAGATCCTCAGGGGTGTTTTTTTTGGGGGGGTGCTAAAGCATAGAACTATTTTGCTTTGCCTAGGCAAAGGAGTGGTGGTGTAGAGATCACATGAGCCTGGTCATGTGGTGAGAAAATTACCATAGTTCAGGTCCAGCAACTAGACTAGCTGGACCTGAACTATGAATACCAATTTTACCATTTATGCTCTCCCTAATTAGCTGGAATCAAGCTATGTAAAGCATATTGATGACTTATCTTTATAGGAATTAACTCAGAGATTTAATAACTGATTTGAAAAGTTAAGAGGGGCCTGGGTGTGGGTAAAGGAGAGAGAAAAGAGTACACAGCCCTTGCACATTGTCAGTTTGCACAAATATGAAAACCTCAATACTTATCCCTTGAAACATGTATACATTATTTTGGCATCTTGTCATGGAGAAGACTTCCTATGTCTGCTTCGGTAAATCTATAGGATCTTTGTATCGCTGCTGCTTACTGAACCTTCGCAAAATACCATCGTTGTATGAGGGGAAAATACAGTAGATCATTTTTACCTTTTATTTCATAGCAGTGTAAGGTTTGGCTGCAATCTTTGTTGGCAGAACTGTTCCCTGTGTAAAGCCAGGTGGATCTGAGACCCTCCTGTGGCAGCTTACTGAGAACCAAAAAGCAGCGCCAGCTCTTGGGGGCCTGATGCTTTAGGCAAACTGGAAAACATCCACCTGTCATAGCTCTGTCAGCAAACAGTTTGGATGCCTTAGGCAACTTCCTGGTTTAGTGAATCTCAGTGGTCCTCACAAGTCTGAGTAACACAGTTCCACCTCTGGGAAATATTTAATCTGCTGCAGCAAAAACAACAAAAGAGTTTTGTGGCAACTTAAATTCTACTTATTGTGGCATAAGCATGGGTCTAAAACCCACTTTATCAGATACAGTCAGATATAATTCATGCATAGCACTCTACACAGCAGAAAGAGCCATATCCCTTTGGTTCTCTTCTTTCCACCAGCTTTCCTTCATGCCAACTGTAACGATGTTCTGCTTCAAACTAAGCTCTCCATCTCCCCAACGTTTCATATTAGGTAGTCCCATAAAGATTATGGTTGATTTCATGATGATGATGATGATGATTTTATTGGCACCAACACAAATCACAAACTTGGATGGCTTTAGAGAGGATTTGACAAATTCATGGAAGATGTTATGAATGGCCACTGGCATGCCTCTGAATACTAGATTGTGCTGTGAAACAACAGCAGGAGAAGACTCTTGGTTTCATGCCCTGCTTGTGGGATTCTAGGTGGCAAAATTGCTTAACAGCCATTGCTTCCACAACCACATTCACTGCAGTTTCTGTATACATTATTCAAAACAGCCTTTACCCAACCTTGGTTCCCCAGATGTTGTTGAACCACAGTTCCCATCAGCCCCAGTCAGCATGGCCAATAGTTGGGGATGATGGGAATTATAGTCCAGTAGCATCTGAGGTAAAGGAATTTTGATAGAGCTGCCTTATTAAAGAATTAATCAATTAATTATTAGTTTAATTAAATCTAAATATATGTAGATATTAATTAAAAAGCTACAATGGGTTTTTTTGTTTTTGATGAATCAAAACATGTTGCAGAATGCATGATCTTGTAAGAGGCTCTCCATCCTGTGCATTAGAAATGAGGAATGTCTCTTCACAGTGTCCTAGTGGGTGCCTCTTCAGTCTGTTGGCTTTAACAGTGCATTCCTAAACGTCAGCATTCTCTCACTTTCCCCCTCTCCCCATGGTTCTTGAAAATACTTCTGGCTTCATTCTCTCAACACTTTATTAAAGCTTCTGTTTCTCCAAGTCTATAATGATGACCCATTCTATTGGGAGTCACAAAGGATGCTTTTGAGGCTTGTGAGAATGGAGACATACAGCAGCATCTGTCTCCATTCCTCTTCCTTGTCCCTGAAGCCTTCACACACAAGGAGAAATCTTGTTGGAATAGTTTGCTTTCCATAAAAAACAACCCTTTGTTGTTTTTCCACATGCACTCGAGGTGGATTTCCGTAATGCAGTAATGCGTGCAGTAAGAAAATTCTCTAGTGTAGCAAAGAAGTATCACTGTTTTTCCATACAGCATGCAGAGTCCAACACAATTCGTGGCTCCCTGCCACTTTCTTCCCAGCAAAGACATATTCTTTCTGGAATGGGAAAAGGGTGTTTATGTTTGTGAGCAGCTGTGGTGCTGTGTTCACCTGTCTGCTTCCAAAATCCCTGGTCTCTCCCTGCTCTGTTTCTTACCCCCCAACCCCCAATGCATGCACACAAACACACAAGGGTCAAGTCTAATTTTCAAACTAGCTGGATGCTGTGCATCAAACAAAATACTCTGTGGAGCTGTAACTGTTTACCTGCGGCTTCCTCCACCTACCCATCACTCTGCTTCTTCCCATGCAGTGAGCACTTCTGCCTGCCAAAGGTTTCGTCAAGAAGCATAACTAAAGCAGATCAGTTACCATGGTCACACTGGGAAGAGCTGTGGTGCTGATATACAGCAGCTCCAAATTCTTTGGATTAGGAAAAATAACGAGAGTGAAAGGAAAGGATTTATCACTCAGCCTGTGAAAAATTCTCTGCAACCTCTTAGACAATTTGTGTATTTGCTTTTAGCAGGATCGGATGCTATCACAGCATGCAAAATTTTGGAGTTACAAAGAGCTGGAGTGCCTGAGAGCCACTTTTCCAGCTTTGGGCACTCTTTACCAAGCCCAATGGACACTTGTTTTTTGTTTTGTTTATAAATTGATCTCCCATCTTTCCAAATCTTCCAACAAAACAAAAGTAGCTTTAAATAACAACCTCTTAACTAAAAAGACATAATGCTGAAGATGAGGAACACTACAAAACCACATGGAAGGGACAAGCTTTGTTTTTTAAAACAAATAACAAGAATTGTAAAGATTTGAACCTTATTTGGGTGTTTTATCAGTTATCTTGGGATAATTGCAGTAAAGACCCCTTTTCTTGCTGTAGAGGTTCTCATTTCACATAGAATGAGCCCATGAAAAAGAGTTTCCCTAGCTGCAAATGTGTGCTTTAGAGTACCGTTCTATCCCACCTAATTTTCCATAGAAAGTAAGAATGGCTAACAAATTGGAAGCAAAACAATATACAGGAGATCACTCCCCAAATTAAGCCCACTCACAAAATCAAAATAGAACTAAGAACATAGAATGGTACCAAACAGCAATTAAAATAAATGCAAAACTAAGCTAGCAAAAATAATAGTCATCCAAAGACCCTTTTAAAGAGCCACATCTTTATGAACCACCTGACTCACTTCACTTAACAAGGTATTTGATAGGGTGGGCACCATAACAGAAAAAGCCCTAGTCCCAGCAGGGCCTCAGATAATGGATGGAGCATGCAGAGAGGAACATACAGAAAAAGAAAGTCATTAGGGTACCCTGGTGCCAAGCCAGTAGGTTGTTTTAAAGGTTAACACCAGCGCCTTGACTTGAGCCAGGAAACTAATTGGCAACCAGTGCAGATCACATAGCACCAGTGTGATGGAATCAAATTGTGTTACATTACAATTTGCAGGCTTTCTAGACTTTTCTGGTCTTGCACATTTGGAATATTTCACAACACTTTAGGCCTTAAAAAATTGCTTTTTAAATAAAACAATGTTTTAAAAAGCCCCACATCATCTGCTGCTGATGCTATCATGCTGCTCTCAGAAAGCTGCTGTGCTGTGGTGGTTAAGAATCAGAATTATTAGTTAGAACTTGGGAGTCCTTTGTTCAAATGTCAATTCAATTGCCTGTTCATTAGCTGGCCTTAGGCAAGCTTACCATCTCCCCTGATATCTGTAATATGGGAATACAGCACTAGTTTATCTTACACGGTTGTAAGTTAGAGTTTATTACATTCTTTGACACTTTGGAAAATGGCTGTTAGGTATAAATCTGGCAAATATTTCCTTGCATCCGTAGCTGTTTTAAATGGTTCCATGTACATTGAACTTATACATATGCAAGGATTTCCACCAGGGTAGGTTATCAATTTTTCCCCAGTATCAGTCATCCCAGGGAATGGAAATGGGAAGTTACACTCTAACGTGCCTTTTTGCTTGGAGTGAGCAGGAAGCGTTCTATTAAAATCAGGTTTTAGATTGTAGTTCTTTAGGTGGGCAACTATTCCTTCCTAGGTGTTTTGTAAGTTGGCAGAGAATGACTTTAGGTGCCAGAGGAAGAACATGTGGTAGTTTCTTAGTATTTGTTCATGTAGACATATCTACACACTTCTCTCATAACACCGTAGAATGTTGCATTATTATGATCTGCTACATATTTTGGAAATTTGTTCATTGGCTATGCATTTGGACAACTCTTAAGGTGTCATAAGCAAATTTTGCATGATGGTTCCTGAGATCAATGAGCAAGTGTTTGGATAAAATTGGATGCCATTTTGAATCCAGGTGGCAAACTGAACCTTTCAAATGCAAAAAAAAGGGGGGGGGAGTTCTTTAGAATTCCCGAACAATGGCAAGTATGAGGCTGCCAGTAGTAACTAAAGATTGAACTTTCTCCTCAACCAATTAACTGTATCAGAATAGGAGAGAGAGGTTAGATTGCAGGTCACAGGGTAGCATCTGTGTGAGCTTGTATGCTTGACTATTCCTTACCAGACCTTCCAAATTTTACTGTTGTTCCTCAGATATATCCTAATCTGTTTTCATTCCCTGCACAGTATTTGGGTGTAAAGCATGTATACATTATGCTAAACTTAAAGTGATAATCAGGGATAGAAGCATGACAGAAAGCCATTTACTGAGTTTAGTCATTGCTCCTCCCTTGCTGTTCTGCGCCTAAGACTGAACCAAAAACTGAACCAGCAACATTTCAGCAAAGAGAACTTAAGGAGAATACTGGAATAGTGTCCCATCTGTCAGGACAAAGTTAGCCTAACAATTCTGATTTGTTTCACTACAAATATGCAGCTTTGCATAGTGCTTAGAGATTGCTGGAGAGCTTTATAGTTCATGAAATAATGAATCTTCGGTTTTTAACTTTGGAACAAGATGGTGAGTCATTTAGCCTTTTCTCATTAACCTTTCATTCCAAGTCCTGACGCACGAGGGAGAAAATGGGATGGCAATTGGAGGTGATCATTACTGCCTATTAACCTATGTTATCCTACCTCATTGAGATATGAAATTCGTACTTTCTGTGTAATGAATTCCACAGGGGCTTGAAAGAAAGATACCAGAAAGGCTACATCGACAAGTGAAGGGAGTGCTAAAGGGTTGTTGGTGTTTTGCAGGATTAATTGGATTGTGTAGCCTGTACAACCATGGAAGGAGATTGTTTGAGCTGCATGAAGTATCTGATGTTTGTCTTCAATTTCTTCATATTTGTAAGTATCCTTGGATTTTCCATCACATACCACCTCTTTCATATCTCTGCTTGCAAGGTCAGTGCTGGCTATACTGTGATAGACTTTCTTCAATACAGAATTGCCCTTCAGTTTCATATATAAAAGCATCTGAAACATACGTAACACCTCTCATCATAAGCTGCCAGGACACATATCACCCCCATGGCTTGGTATCACTGATAAGGGGAGTGGATACTGTTCTTCTAACAATTAGTAAGACCTGTGAACAGATCTCTAGACCAGATTTTCAAGCATTTATCCAATCACTGGGTAAATTGGCACTGTATAGTTTATTAAAGTATGGAATACAATTGCGTTGTGTCCTAGAACTTCTTCCAACAACCATAAAGTTGCATAAAGAGCATGCTAACCCTTTTGTTGATCATTTCTAAGCCAAACTAATTAACACTATTAGAATGGTCAACGTAGCAATAGTAACAATAAACCAGTGTCATAGGGTGTCAAGAGTCTCATGCTATGAAGAAAATTGCTGAAGTTCAGCTTCCTGTGATGGTTGTGTTTTTTGTTGAAGAACGCACCTCTGGAAACACACCTAGAATAATAATAATATATTGTGTATCTGTACGGTTTGTATAGTACAGGTGAATCATTTTGGCGGGCAGGGGAAGCTTATTATGCAAGATTTAATAACATGGGATAAAGAATTATACAGGTAAGGGACAATCTAGCAGCCCTGCCAAGCCCCTTTTTATATCTCAAAATGAATGAAAGCTTTGCAAAGATGGGGCCTATGTCTCTGATGTCCCTGAGGTTGTCCTATTGCTTCTTCCATGGATTCTACACAGGAAATAACTACACAGGAAGAGCTGAACTATAAAGAAAAAATGGGCGCTTCCTTGCTATAAATAGCCCAGATAATGAAAAGTGTGTGTGTGTGTGTGTGTGTGTGTGTGTGTGTGTGTGTGTTGGTGGGGGAAATTGTAGGAAATGCACACTGTGAAAAAAGTAAGCTTGCATGGCAGAAAGCTAGCTTAGTCATGCAGCTATTGTGTTGGTTAGATCTCTTAGCATGGGATGAACTCACTGGAGAGAATTTAGAAAGGAATTGAATGTCTTTATCTGAAATATTTCCCTTTTTGGCAGCTGGGTGGTACATCTCTACTGGGAGTTGGAATATGGGTCATAGTGGATCCCACAGGATTCCGAGAGATAGTGGCTAGTAATCCTCTGCTCTTCACGGGGGCATACATCATGCTGGCGATGGGAGCAATGCTCTTCCTGCTGGGGTTCCTTGGCTGCTGTGGAGCCATCCGCGAGAACAAATGCCTCCTTCTCTTTGTAAGTACTGTTGGCTCTTTCATATGTGGTTTTCTTTTGTATCTGCCTGCGCGGTATGGATAGCTGATTAGGTAATACCGGTACAGATTGTTTTGCACATCCAATTGTTTGCAAACTGCAGTTTTTGCGCAGTTGACAACTAAAAGCATTTCATCCTAATCTGCATGCAAGTTCTGCTGTACAGCTAATGAATTGCTTGTTGCAATCACTTATAAGTAATAATCATAACTACTTGAAAATAAACACTGCACCTATCTTGGCACAACTACCAAGGGGTAGAATTTAATGTGTTCCTAAGCTAGTACTGTTACAGGTACAAGAAGAACATGCAGAGATTTTGAGCATGGAGAGCTAGTTGCCATTTTGCTGCCTACATATGTAGATCTTTTAGGTTAACTTTGTGTGCAAGCCATTTCAAATTAAAACTCTGAAGAAGGTGACAAAATAGCAGGAAAAGGTAAAGAGATCTGTAGTGTGCTTAATTTTTGTTTGTTTGTTTGATTTACTTTTGGTTTGTTTTTAAGTGTAGGGTTTTAAATGTTTCAATTGCATTTTTAATCATTATGAGCAGCTTTGAGGATTCTAGTAAAAAATAAACATTGCAGAACTCCCGTTGAGTAGATATGAATATGGGCTCCAGAGTCCAATTGTAGCCTGATAAATAACATTTAATCTCAAATATTGAATGTTATTTGGGAGGGGGAAATTGTGCCTGCAGCTATGAATAGTGCTATAGGATGGTTTAGGCTTCTAACAAGCTACAGTTCCCAGATGTAGTAGGGAATTGTGATTTGCTTAAGAGTAGATGCAGAAACATCTGATCTCCTCATTGCAGCTACAAAAGAGGAGACAATGAGAAGCACACGATATAAAACTTTGCTGCAACTCATTCATATAGTGGGAAATCATAGTTTCTTGTTACATCTGGTCCTGTAAGTACTTTAGGACAAAAGGACATAAAAAGAGCCCTGTTGGATCAGATCAAATGACTGTCTGTTCTGGCAGTCTCTTCTCACAGTGGCCAACCAGTTACAAGACATCTCACTCATGTTTCCCAGCCACTTCTGTTCAGGGGCATAACATCTAGCCCAGTTGGTTAGAGCGTGGGGCTGATTATGGCAAGATCCCATACGGGCTACCTGTATATTCCTACATTGCAGGGGGTTGAATTAGATGACCAGTGCCTTCCAATTGTATGATTCAGTGATCTCTGATAACACGTCACCATTGATAGCCCTATTCTCTATATTTTACCCCTATAAAACCACCTGTATTTTCATCAAGCGTGCGTACCCAAGTGCTCCCATAAGAACTTTATACCTTATCTGCACCCCATTTCTCCCATATATCCATCAGCATGCACTATTTAATCAGCCCTAGAGTCAAGAGTATGAAGTCCCCCTTTGTCAGCCTTCTTCAAACTGCAAGTGAACTCCAAAAAGTAATCAAATAGTTTCTAAGAAGTCCTTAATGCACAAAATTCTAGTGTGACTGTGGCCCACAAAGTTTGCCATATCACATTTGGGTACATATGGAAAGAAAAACCTAAAGGTGTGCATGTGTGCATGTGCGCATACCATCTGGGTCAAGTAGATTTGGGTTTCATTATAATGTACATTATAGAGACGCCATACATAATGAAAGGAAGCCTGTGACTGAAGTGGAAAGCTGCAGCGTTGTTGTCCTAGTTCCCCACCCAGCCATCCTTCAATTTGCCTGTTATCCTATATACCTGAGGGTGTGCGTAATGGCTAAACTTTTCATTTGGTACGTCATTTTATTCAGTATAAAATGGGATGGAAAAAGTTATGTAAGAGTTTCCCCCCAGGAACAAGGACTTCCCAAACGGAGGTTTCTTCCAAAGGGGGAGTGATGGGAAAGAATGGACTATGCAAAGCGATTTAGTGTGTGACTTGTGGAAATATTGGCCTGGCAAGATTTTCATATTTCTTCAGGAAGTTCAAATGAAGTGGCTGTTAACTGTAGCTGGGGTTGTGGGAGAAGTGTTACTTTCATGGACTGATCAAAATCCAAGTCCTCGTATGAAGTTTTCAAAAATAGATGAGCCAGAGGCTTCCTGAGAGAGATTTTGCAGTGATGCATAATGAATGCCTAAAGCTTTTAGCTCAAGTGTAAACTCAAGGCAAGCGTAGAGCATGGGTAAGAGACAAGAGAGAAACATGCATCCCAAGGGAAGTTCTCAAGCTTCTTTCTGCGTAGAGATGATTTTTCATGTTATATTTTTATAAGAAATGTTGCAGTTGAATCTGATATGTTGCATCAAGCGTCAGGCTGTGTTGTGCTTCACAGCCCCCAAAGCTGTTGTTCTAGCAGTTGATCTTTGCAAGGTTGTGTTTTAAAAAAACACACACAAAAAACACTGCACACTCCTTGGAAGACTTAGAAATGAGCTTGCTGTGAAATACCCCTAAAGCCATTTCACTTGCTGCTTGATAAAATAGTGGGGTCCGTGGTGTATATTTGAATTTTGGAAGGCTACAAAAGAGTATAAATCAGACTTGGTGTACCCATAAGAAATTCCTTTGTATTACAAATCTGTCCCTTCCTCTTTCTCCACCCACATTGCAACAAAGGTAAAGGGGGAGGAGAACTAAGTACTGCTTGATCTAATTTTTACTGAGGACCAAACTGGCACCAGGGGGAACTTTCCTCTCATTCAGGTGGTTAATGCACTCATCCCCCTGGCCGCAGTCCCAGTCCTGTTTCCCCAAGCCAGCAGCTAGACAAGGGCAGACTATGTGGTGAGTTTCATGTTTAGTTTGACCCTCAAAACATTCCAGTTCCAGTATGCAAGTCATGGTATTATTTGCAGATACAAATGGGGAAATGAGGCTGAGAAAGAGTCTTCTCCCATACCTTTGGATAATGAAACTGTGGATGGTCTTTTTCTCCATGTGAGAGTGTGGTTATTGTTATTGTTTATTACTATGTTATGTTTTGTGTGTTTTTGTGTTTTTATATTGTAAACCGCCCTGTGATCCTCGGATGAAGGGCAGTATAGACATTAAATAAATAATAATAATAATTTGCCCAATGACTCTGGGGCAGAAAATCTATGTCAAAGGGATGGGGGCAGGGAGGCCTTGGCAGGGAGGCCAGAGAGTGGAGGATTTTAAGTGAGTTGGTATGATCAACAGTGAATCCATATGATCAGCAGAATGGTTTGTAAAGTAAAGCCTTGCAGTTTTGCAGTCTGGCATGTCCCTGGATGTTTTGTTGATCTATGGATTTGGCAGATTTCTTCCAGTGTAGCTGCAGATTTCCTTTGCATGGCGAGGACAAATTCCTCACTCAGTTTGATTTATCGTTTTGATTATTTTGAGAGATTCTGTCCCAGCTGTTTGCTGTAGATGTACAGTGATTTGTCTGCCTTTCTTTTTCTCTCTTTCAGTTCTTCATGTTTATTTTGCTAATCTTCCTGGCAGAACTCTCAGCTGCAATCCTGGCTTTTATCTTTAGAGAAAATGTAAGTATTACAATGTCAGCATGGCGCCCTGCAGATTTTGGTTCAGGTGGGCTTCAAGTTAGAAGGTTATAAGCTTGCTGAGTTGATATCTGTTAGGATGGCAGTGGACCAATATTCCCATTATTACTCCTGGTCTGAACATCATGCAGTTACCTGTTGAATGCAAGCAAAAGAAACTTGTGTCAAGTAGATGGTTTATGTGTAGAGGAGATAACATGCCCCCCAAAGGTTTCCAGAGTTAAGGAGCTTATGCAGGCTCATACTTTAAAAAAAATCATCCTCATTAAAATTGAATTAGCTTTAGTTTCATAGATCAGAGACAAAATTAATAACAGTTTGAGAGGTTAAAAGAACATAGCACAGCAGGATAGAAAGAAGTAAATTCATCATAAGTTATTTCATTTTGCCAGTATGAAGAATCTGTCACATGCATGCTTTTCCAAGTCTGCAGTGCAATGCTTATCTGTCCAGTACCACCTGTACTGAAAACAGAGCTTTAAATCAGTTCAGATAGACCAAACATTCCTTTAATAAAACTGCTATCATATTTAGGCTGCCATTTCCCTCTTGTCTGCAGTGTTTCCCAACCTTGTGCCTCCAGCTGTTTTTGAACTACAACTCCCATCATCCCTGACTAGCAAGACCAGTGGCAAGGGATGATGGGAATTGTAGGCCAAAAACAGCTGGAGGCACAAGGTTGGGAAACACTGGTCTAGAGGATGGACTAAGCTGATGCCCTATCACAAGTCCATTCCATCTTTATTTGTGTGAGTTTTTCAAAAGAATGCACAAATAAAATCTACATTTGAAATGTATGCATTTGTATGCATTTCTTAAGTAAAACACACGCTTTTTACTTATATGTATTTTCAATGCATTTTCCTCATAAAATATGTATGTTTATTGTCCATAAAACCCATATTTTTGTGCATACCTTCTGCTTACTAAAGCTGAATTGCAAAATCTAACTGCAAGCAAGTTCAGGAGTGCAGATTTACCTACAATTCTCTGTGATTCAAAACAAAATACAAAAAAAAGACAACTACACATTCCTAAACAAAGGGATTGGGTTTTTTGCTTTTACTTTGGGGGGGTGGTCCTCGGTTGGGGGGTGGGAGACCTGGAGCAATGACCAAAGCTTCCTAGGAACACCCAATTCCTTAGGAACGCTACTGTAAGTGTTGACTTGCAATATAGGCAAACATGAGATACTTCTCCTTTTTTTGCTTTCACTTGTTTTCTTGTTGCAGTTGTGAACACAGGAACCCCGCATTTACACCTTACATAGCCTAAGTTAGCTGGTGTGTCCTGGTGCGACTTCAGTTGCTTTTGTCCATTGTTCTGTTTGGCAAATTCAATTTCCTGCAAAAAATTTGCTTTGCTTTTGTATTTTGCTTTATATTTATTTGGCTGTTTCTGGCACAAATCAGCAGCCTCATTTCTGTGTGTTTGGGTTTTTTGTTTTTAAAAAGAAGAGCTAAAGATAGAGACATTTAGCAAATAAACCTGTGGGAATGGCAGAAAAACAAAGTATTCACTAATAGGGTGAGAATGAGAATGACACAAAGGAGCCTGTGGACAGAAACTTTGGCATAGTGTAACCCAATGCTCTATAAACACAGGGCTTGCTTTTAATTCCCCCATGTTTAAGGAAGTAGGTGGTCAGATTTTTAAAAACATTGCAAGCCCCAAGAGCCCATTGTGTTCTGTAGTAAGCTGCAGTGTAAGCTTCCAAGGGGCATTTTGGTTCACCGCTGTGGGAGCTTGAATAATGGTGTGTCTGAAACATATACCTTTCACTTGAGGTACACGAAAACGTAAGATTTTTCCCTGTCCATGTAGAAACATACATACCTGCATATATAATTTTATTTCTATGCCACCTTTCCGCAGTTCAAACCATGCTCAAGGTTGCTTACCACATGAAGAAATTTCATAACGACAACATAACAAAAGTAGTCATAATAAATGAAACATTTTTTTAAAAAATACACAACTAAGCCAAACCATTTCCACATAAATCACAAGGGCTAAAATAAAGATTAAAAAAATCAGCAGCAATAACCAGTGGCGTAGCGTGGGGGGTGCAGGGGGGGCCGGCCGCACCGGGCGCAACATCTGGGGTTAGGGCAAATCCACGGGTTAGGGGGCGCAATTTACTTGCCTTGCCCCGGGTGCTGACAACCCACGCTACGCCACTGGCAATAACCCCCAACCACAACAGCCTCTGCCAAACAGCACCCTAGCCTAAGAGTCTGTGCAGCAACCTCAGCTTTTGTAGTTGGAGTCAGTCAAGACCCCGTCCTCCCAGGCCAGATGGAAAAAGGCCTGTGTGAATATTAAACTTTCCAGTCTAGTCACTCTTCATTTTTCTCTGGCCTTTCTGATATCAACTGTATGATTCACAGTGTTACCAATGAGCTCATTCTCCTGTTCCTTTATTCTGCCCATATCACCTCTCCCTGCCTCCCTCTTAGATGCTTTCCTTCCAAGATACAAGTTTTGGCCCATCTCTTTCTCAAGGACTCTGCAAATTCTGCAGCTCCCTGTTGCTAATTTATTGCTTTCTTAACACCCTTTGTGCTAGCTAAATAATTGCCACTAATAATAATGACACATAGTAACATTGTTACTAAGCTTTCTACCATCAGTTTGGTGCTTTTTTAATATATGCAGATTTAGGAAGCTGTTGTTGCAGGTTTGTGTGACTGGTTAAACACATAAATTTGGGAAGACTCAGTGGTAAAGCAACTACAGAAAGTCCCATTTTCAATCCTTGGTATCTCTAGGTAGAAGTAGACATTCCTGCTTGAAACCCTGAAAAGTTGCTGGTCTGACTCAGTGTAAGGCAGCTTCCTATGTTTCTATGGGCTGTGGAACTGAATTGCACACATTACTTACGTTGTACAGTGGTCACAATGAAATCCAGTAGCTTGATCTTGTGCAAAAAATTAAAATTGTGGTGTTGCAACAGGGCTCAGATATGTACCTTTATTTCATTTTGCAGTTGGAACCCACTTCCAATATTCCGTACTTCCAATTGTTTGTCAGAACAGCCCTGAGAACCTTGGACTTACTCCCCACCCACAAATATTCCCGGTTCTTTGTTCCATCTGGCAAGTTTTCTCTTGATGTCCATAATCTCTCCTGTCCTCCAGCTGTGCATTGCTCTGAGGCTTCTCTTGACCCTCCAGAGTATATTTGGGAGGACATGGAAAGAAAGGGGCTCATTGCACTAGTGAGAATCGTTGAGCTGGCTTCCGCTAGCACAATAATTTAGTTGAACAAGAACCCTAGGGGCTTTTTTCACCCCAAAGTAGAGTTCACATTCTATTGCTTATATCCTCTTGTTAGTAAGACAACCCACCATGTCTCTAGGCTCATGATCTTGGAAAGTGTGCTTCTGTTCATGACATGTGTAGACACTTGTGTTTGGGTGCCCATGCTATCAGGGACATATGTTATTACCTCTGTTTCCATGGCTTTATTTCCTTAAACAAGATGTACTTTGCTTTGTGACTTAGAGAAAAATGTATTTTCTTTCCTTTAAAGATCTTCAAGATCTTTACCTGTAGTAATATATTGCAGTATTTCAGTTGGTTGCTCCCATTAATGAATCTGTTGAAAGCAGAACAATCATCTTCTTTTTTTTTTAAAAAAAAAACCTTTTACTGGTTTGACAGGACTAATTGTAGTGTGTGTTTTATACAGAAGAAATTAATGAGGGAGCAAGTATAGTGTAACCTTGCAGCAGACTTAACAAGGATTTAACATCGGTTTAATTTTTCCCAAAGAGGCTATGTTTTCACCATTATTATTTTTTTAAAAAAGACCTTAAAATAAGTAAAGAAGTGAGGTTTAGAAAGTCAATGCTGAAAGAGTCATATCTGTCCAAAGGTTAGAAGGAAATAATGTCTCTCTTCTCAGCTGGTGTTCTCTGCAATTGAACAGAAGGGAAAGAACTGCACTTTGTAAGGAGTTTTAGATACCCCGTTTCAAGTAGCACAGGCAGGGAGAAAGCGTAATTGTGTCTTGGTGGCAACAGCTATTGCTCTATAAATAGCGACCACTTCCTGGGGATCTGTTGGGGTCTGGTCAATACAGCTCTTGTTTTCTGAATTTGTTGAATTCTTTCAGGACAGTGCAAATAGAAGACCTCACACATAGTAGCGGAAAACCACACACTTGCACAAGCTGTTACATTTAGGTATCAGCAGTCCAGGTGTGCATGTTTTTCTTTCCGTGTGTCTATGAACAATGGGGATTTGCTTTCCTGTGATTGTACAGTGTTCTTGAGCATGTTGCAGCATTAAGGGAGGCAAACCAAAAGAATAGACTATGGGTGTGGCTGTGGAAACTATCCTTCAGGCACAAGCAGCATTCATTTCTTGCATCCAGCTCACCTAGTGACCTCACAACTCACAAAGTTTTCAACATATGTACTTGGCTGGGTGGGTGTGACACTTTATGGCTGCAAAGAGCCTCACAGAGCATTCTGAGAAGCATATTCTATAATCATTGCATTTTACAATGGCTATTGCGGCACCCTTGGTGGTCTTTCTGATATTAGCGCTGTGGCCCAAGCATCTTCTGCAACTTTGCAAGGGACTATGGAGCGCACCACTTAGATCACATAGTCTCCACTGACTCTCCTAAATGTATTGCTGCCCCAAGTAGTGTTCCTTGTGTTCCTACTGTAGTTGAGCCAGCCCAATCTGCCATATTAGCAGGGACGCTAGCAGGACAAGTAGGACATGTGCTGCCCATGCTATTCTTAAAGGTAAAAGGTAAAGGGACAACTCTGGGGTTGCAGCGCTCATCTCGCTTTATTGGCCAAGGGAGCCGGCATACAGCTGAGCCAGCATGACTGAGCCACTTCTGGCGAACCAGAGCAGCACACAGAAATGCCATTTACCTTCCTGACGGAGTGGTGCTTGTTTATCTACTTGCACTTTGACGTGCTTTCAAACTGCTCAGTTGGCAGGAGCTGGGACCGAACAACAGGAACTCACCCTGTCGCAGGGATCCGAACCGCCGACCTTCCGATCGGCAAGCCCTAGGCTCAGTGGTTTAGACCAGTGTTTCCCAACCTTGTGCCTCCAGCTGTTTTTGGACTACAATTCCCATCATCCCTTGCCACTGGTCTTGCTAGTCAGGGATGATGGGAGTTGTAGTTCAAAAACAGCTGGAGGCACAAGGTTGGGAAACACTGGTTTAGACCACAGCGCCACCCAAAATATAGGTCTTTACTTGGCTATAAATGGGGTACCATATCAGGCTGCGTTCAGGTAGGGGGAACCTGGAGAAGAGACTCTGCAGAAGGTTGCATATGATGATAGGAAGCTACCTCATATAGAGTAAGACTCTTGGTCCATCTATCTCAGTATCGTCTACAGTTTAGAATCTATACTGAGTGGCAGCAGCTTTCCAGGATTTCAGACAGGGGAGTCTGCTTGGAGATGCTGGGGACTGAGCCAGAAAACCATCACATGTAAAGCTGTGGCCCTTCGCCATCAGGTGTTGTGGGCTACAACTCCCATCAGCTCCAGCCAGCATGGCCAGTGGTTAGGGCTGATAGGAGTAGTAGTTCACAACACCTGGAGGGAACCACATGAGCTATCCCTGACCTACTGACAATATCTTGGTGCACAATGCTTCCTTAAAAACCAGCATAAACCTGTAAGGTGGGAAGGTTTGTTTGGAGGGCGGGGGTGGCCAGTTGGCCCAGAATTACCACTTGAACACAGCTGTGTGCCATGTACACCATCCCTTTGGTTCAGTGTCAAGTGCTAAATCAACTAAGTGTGTGGATAAATATTTCCTAAGATAAATATATGGAGTGGTGGTGAAGAGGTAATGTAATATGTTTTGGCCTACTGTTACTTTAGGCAGCTGAGCCACAATATGGTGATGGAGGTAGAAAGTTGAAGGTAATTAGTTGTGCTGAAGTAACAGATCAGAGCAAAAGGATATTAAATATCCTGGCAAGTGTAGAAATTATTTCTTTGAGTGCTGCACCGTTCAGTGTAGATGCAGCCTCTCTGCACTTCCTTATTAGCTTATTGGCTTGTGAGGTGGTATTATGCTTAATGCTCTGCATAGCCCGTCTCCCTCTTGAGACAGATGTAATTGATAGACGCTTCACTGTCTGCCTTATGGTGCAACACAACTTTTCCTTGTACAACATCTTGTGTCCAAAGCTCTCACAGCACTATATGGGGTTAAATTATATAGTTAGAGGTAAATAATTAATAGCAGAGGGGAAAGAAGAAATTAAGAACCACAACAAGGCTTAAGAGAGATGTTAACTGCTGAGATTTGAAGTAGGGCAGATAGCAGTGAAGCAGACAGGCAAGGAATTGGTTTCAAATGGCTGAAGCTGTTAGAGGAGAAGATCCTTCCCTTGAATAAAGCTGGGAGGGTTGGAGAAGAGAACTGAGAGGGGAGCAGCGAGGGAGAGTCAGCAACAGTTGAGAAGAGCTCACAGTTTAGAGGTTTAAAACAATGTTAGAAACAAAGTGGTTTTCAAAGTGAAAGAGCAAAAACCACTATTAGAAGTTTAGAACTTGAGTCTTATTAAAAATGAAGTGAATGGTGAGGCTGAAGACTTGTGGTTGTTGATTCACCACCACCACCACCACCACAGAGAGTGATGTTTTCTCCTCTAAAGAGATCACGGGCAAGTCCCATAGTAAGAGACAGGTGAAAGGTTGTTCTCTTACAAGTGACAGCACTACAACAATTGCTGCTAGGTGCTATTTGTCATGTGTGAGGCTCATCGAGTAGCAGCTGGAGGCTGCTTTTCGTCAATAACTGCCACAATTTACTAAAATATCTCATTAGGAAGATCAGCATATTAAGGTGGTGGATGTGCTCTCAACTGGAAGAAGATAAACAAGCTTTGTAGTAGCTGTGGAAGAATCCATTCTTCCTACTCTGCTTAGATCTGGATCCTTTGGAGAGAAATGACCTTCCCCACATCATGAGCCAAATGTTGCCTTTCAGAAAGCTCACACTAATAGCTATATGGCAGGGCGATGCTACTCCCAATTCATTTCAGCTTTCATAGCAGTAGCAATACCTGCTGAATAACTTTCCTGCTGTTTAACAATTACAGGCATAGATGTGCCCTTCAGCTCCTGAGGTCAAGTTCATATTGGGACTGGCAGTAGTTCTTTTTTTCTTGTCATTTCAAAATTTGCCTGTTCTTATAGTTGGGAGAGAAGCTGCTTTCTTTATCACCTCCTCTCCTCTCCTCACCCCCTTCCTCCCTTCCTTCTGTAATGTAGGAGCATCCCAAGCACAAGGGGAGTTTGGGGAGGGGGAGGGAATGTGAAGATGAGGAGGAAGGTTTTTCTCCCTGCTGTAACAGCAGGCAGTTAAGGAGGTGGGTGGGGGATCCCATTTTCTCCCTGGGCCCCCAAGCAGTTCTTCTTCAGATCAGCTTGCATTCCAATCTGGAGGGAGGTCTGCTTGGAATACACATTCCAAGACTGCCAAATTTGTATGCTGACATAGGTAATTATGAGACTCAGCAGCATCACTACAGAATACTGCATCTATTAATTCAATTATTTTTATGCAGTAAGGATAGGACACAGAGAGACCTTTGCAGCCTAACACAAACCTCTAATAAAGGAGAGAAACAGTGCTTGGTCAGTACTACTGATTTTAGACTGCTTTGTTTTATGGATTTCTTTTAACACTGAAAATCAGCCGTGTGACTTATGTTATTAACTGCCTCCCGCCCCCACCTTTGTCCAGATACTTGGAACAAAGTAAAATGCTATACTAGTGAAAGGAAGGAGTTTCTTTTCTGGCCCATAAGCACAATCCCAGTGCTGGGCTTTGTTTTAGGTCAAATCTCATAAAAATCACAAACACAAACCTCAAACATTTCCTTTGGGATCACGCCTGTCAAAATAAAGGTTTCACTTTATATTCAAATGACTCTTTTGTTTCAGAACTGGTCAAAGGAAGCCAATTGGGACTATTACCAACTGTAATATTAGTTTCAAAGTCTGCACTTAGGAAACAGACAAGCATCAATAAAAAGTCTGGGCGGCTGTCTCCGCAGGATGGGAGCCTGGGCGGGTAAATTATGCAAAAGAAGGGAAGGGAAACACAATGCTGGAGCACATGGAGTGGCACCTTCTAACCCCGAGGCCCCTGACGGTGCTGCATTATTTCCCCGGGGAGAATCTCCATCCGGCCTGACTAATAGGCATTTCCACTCGAAGGGAACATGGCCTCTCCACATTGGAGTTGCTGGAGGTGTAGCTTCAACAAGCCCTCTGTGACTTCTGTGAGGTCTGCAGGATTTCCATTAATTTTAGTAATAAAGTTCCAGGGAAAAGAATATAAAAAGTAAAATGACCCCCCAGTGTGTTGGTAGCACAAGTTGTATTACTGAGAACTTGTTAAGTCTTGACTGTTAAGTGCTCATTCTGCTTAAATGCTAAAGAAGCGTCAGAATGCTATATGTGTGTGTGCATGTGTTTTCACCTACCTGGTTAAAATTTGTTCTGCTATACTTCTGGCATGACTAAGGGCTCATCCACACTTTCAACTGCTGCTTCCCCCCAGGAAAACCTGTGGTTTAGTGCTGAGTCAGAACAGACGAGTTTTCTGCAGATTGGCCTTGGTTCCGATTTAGCACTAAAGACTGAGTTTGCCATGGGAAAGTAGCAGGGCTAAGGCAAAAATGCTTGGACCCTTGGCTAGAAGGCACAAGTCAGGCAGAAAACTCCTTGGGTCCATGCTTTCACGGGACAAACAGATCTGTGAATGAGCGCTAAGAGGGATCTAGAAAGATGGTTCTAGCAGTGACCACAGAGGGTACTCTTATGAGCAAGCAGCTTTCAGTAAATTGCCATCATTTCGATTGAGATTCTTCTCAGTTTATTCCCAGCCTTTATATGAGGGATGTGGCCTGAACTGGTATTTAATTTTCTGTTTTTATTTGCAGTTGTCATTCACCATGACAGTTGAAGATGCAATTAACAAAAGTTTATGAGCTTTGAACATGTACAGTGTTAAAGTATAATTACTGGCTGTAAAACTGGAGAAGCAGTGGAATGAGACAATACTGGGGTTGTTCACACACCATGCTAAACCATGGTGTAGCACTGCATGAATGAGACTCTGCATACCTGAGCAAAGCATAGAGTTCGCATCCTTGCCCCTTTTCTCTCCTCCTTCTGAGCGGCTGGGAGGAATGCTTCCGTCTAGTTCAGATGTACTTTTAAAGAACCTTCATTTACAGTTTTGATCGGGCCTCCTGGTTCAAATGCCACATTAAAGCTGAGATTACCTTAAACTCAAACAAAACTTGACAGATGTCTCCCTCTTGGCTTTGCAGGAAGAGACGGGAGTGCATGAGAAAAGTACAGTATTTCTCCAGGGTTTCCCAACCTCACCTGGGACCTTTGTATGCAGAGCATAAGCTCCACCACTAAACTGAAGTCTTTTCTCTCAAATTATTAGGTGGGAGGAGTGTCTTGAGCAAACGTCAAGGGAATATGAAGCCCCCTCATGCCATGGCCTTTTCTAGCTCAGAATAAAGGATATGGGTCAACTATCAATTTATCAGCAAGCATCTCTCAATGCTAGCTATCCTGGACCCAGGTGGAATTAGCACCCCGTCTCAATCACAAAAATTAAGATGACCTTGTAAGGTTAATCTATGATGTGCTCAGAGCATTGGCAGCATCTAAGCACTGCTAGCCACTATATTTCTGCACTTTGAATAGAAGGCATGAATCATATCTCGTTTTGCTTCATTCTGTATGTTGCAGTTGACCAGAGAGTTTTTTACAAAGGAACTGAAGAAGCACTATCAAGGCAACAATGACTCTGACGTCTTCTCTTCCACCTGGAACTCGGTCATGATCACAGTGAGTAGTAGCTTGCCTAGTGCATCACTGCGGATGGACCCTGAGCCCTAATGAATGATCACTAGTCACCTTTAAGTAGCCCTACAAAGCCTAGACAGATATGTATGGTATATGATACAATGGCCAAGAGGTAAAATGTAATGACTCCCATCCATTTGCTGGGGAGAAAACGGATGGCAGACAAAACACCACTCCCAATTTCTTCACAAACAGCTGGTTGGTATTTCTGGTTTCTTTTACACACATGCAGCTGCATCAGCCTGGTGGATTGTCTGCAATCAAGCCTGATTCCATGCCCTATCTCAGGGGTAAGGAACATGGCTCTTGAGACATCATTGGGCTTCAACTCCCATAAGACCCAGCCAGCATGGCTAATGGTCAGGGATTATGGGAATTGTAGTCCAGCAACACCTGGAGGGCAACAGGTTGCCCACCCCTGCTCTTCCTGGATCATGGTGAATGTGAAATGCTTTTCTAATAGTCCTCTGATGTGACAATTGGTTGTGATGGCTTTCATTTTAGCATTATATTATTAAGAAGACAGGGAGAGACTAACCATAATGCTTGTCCATTAGTTCTGAAGATAGTCAAATATTAATCTCATCCCCCCATCAGTCAGGCACCGACAATATTTAATTACTTAAAATAAAAATAAACCGAGAGTCCTTCTGTACATTACATTTGGCTGTGCCAATGGAGCATCAGCTACAGGAAGATTTGGGCAGATAGGCAGGCAGAGAGGATGTCTTATTCTACTGGATAAATCACATTGGCCATTATCCATAAAACTAATTACAACAGCGAAAAACACTTTCATTCTGTGTTAAGGCAGGCTTTGTAGTTTTCCTTTCTATCTGTCTTAAACTCCCAGGGAAGCTGTTCCACTGTATTAAAAGCAATATTGAGATGTGTGTATATTCTATGTCGAGGCAACCTACATTCTGCACCAAGAAAGGCTGAATTATGCAGTAGAAACCATGTGGATTATACATGCACACGTTTGCTTATTTTGCAGAATTACTTTGTGTTGCTTAATTATGAGAAAGAGCAAATAACTATCCAGGGCACTAAAGACTGAGCACTGGAAACTCCCCTGAGCCAACTTTGATCTTTGAAGATTTCGCCATATGTTACACCCACAGTTTCTAGCTTGCCTTCGCAATCCTAATGGCTAGTCACAAGCTTTTTTTAAAAGGGTGGGTGGGGAGGAAAGAGGGGGGAAATGAAGCATGGACAGCTTTGAGAGAATCTAGAATTGTGTGTTGTTTGTATGTCTGCAGAAGCCACACAGCCTGCCATACTGAATCCATTTGAATATGGATGGTTCCTATGCATCTTCTGTCATTCAGGTTTCATATTATTTTCAATGGCTCTGTGATGCCTCCTATCCTGCAGAGAGACAGTATCAACTATTTAATCACCTTTCCTGTCTGCTAGTTTGGCTGCTGTGGTGTCAATGGTCCAGAAGACTTTGAAACTGGCCCTCATCTTCGTCCCCTGTATTCACACGATGCAATTCCTGAAGCTTGTTGCCGACGGGAACTCCAATCTCGTAATGGAGCATTCATCAACAAAGAAGAGTGTCTCAGGGGTAATGATATGTATCAAAACCAACAGGTAAGGGCAACACAGAAATGGGATTTAAAACTATTGGGGGGGGGACGTACTGTATGGTGTGTGCAAGCACCCATCTTAAAGTCCCTTTTAAAAAACACTTATTTCTGCCGAAACTGATGTAGATTTTGCCCCTTTCTTTTTTGATTAACACTGTGGAACAAAAGTGTTCAATGATCTTTCATGATACTTTCCACAATCCTTCAATGTGATTTACTGTTGCCCACATTTTTCAGATGAGGAACTGAGATTGAGAGATGGTAACTTTCCCAACACCACACAGTGTGCCTATAGAACAGGAGAGAAAGTTGAACCCAAGGATCTGTGACGGCTTTCACAATTGCAAACCATCCGCCATACAGAACTGAAACCTGTTTTGTGTTTCTTGTAACTGGAAGAAGTAGTGAAGGCAGTCCCTGCCCAGCTCTTTTGGGCAGCATATTTGTTCCAATAGTTGCAAGGAATATTCCCTTCTTTCCAGTGCCATCTAGGCAAAATCTCTGCTTCTCAAGTTCAGCAGAAGCAAAGAGGCCAAGTGATCCATGTAATAATGTACAAGGGGAGAGTGAGTAGTCCTGTGGGCAGGTGTGGTGTGTGTGGTGAACAAGAGATTATTTTGGAGTAAAGTGCCAAAACATGAGGAAACATGGGCAGGAAATTGAGGGACCCGGAATGGTTGATACAGTGTGGCAACTTGCAGATCCAAGAGTGATGCCATTGGCTTGAGGACTCAGTATTATCGGCATGTAATTCTGTTAAGTTACCTACCCTGATTTGATGTTATAAACTATATCCAAGGCAAGCTGGAGTAGATGCAGGCAGAGCAATCCAAACACAGTCTAGTGGGGCAGGTGTGTGGATGGAATAGAGATGTCCCTCCTCTCAACTCTGGTGGCTAAACCAGCCTGCTGCCAAACATGCTGGGTGGGAAGGACACTGACATTTCCCCCACCAGTGGTGGCCAGCGGTAAGTCCCTACACGTTCTGAGGGCAGGGAGAGTGTGGGGCTGAGTTGGACGTTAAGATGTGGTCTCACAGCTGCCATGCATTGGTCCTGGCCTGAAGCTAATTGCTGTGCCAGCCTAGAGCTGGCAAAGGCATCAGGCCCTGCCATCCTGCCTATGTTTTGCTGTTGCTGCTGAGGCTGTGGATACAGTGGTGGCCCAACCTCCGCAGAGCCCTGGTGGTGCACCCTTAAAAGGGAATAGATTTTGCAAAATGTTTGAAAACTTGAGATCTTGCCAAGCCAGAGAGACGACGTGAACTTCTTCTAAAGGTGGCGGGTTTTGCGATTTTCATTGCCATAGAATGGAGATGTTGCAGTTCCGCTTCATCATCAACAACATCATAATTTATTTATACCCCACCCATCTGGCTGGGTTTCCCCAGCCACTCTGGGCAACTCCCAACAGAATATTAAAAACACAATAAAACATCAAACATTGAAAACTTCCCTAAACAGGCTGCCTTCAGATGTCTTCTAAAAGTCAAGATGGTAGCACCTCAGAAAAAACATACTAGTTGACCTAGACTCATTCAGTATTGTAAAACTAATTAATGACTGTGTCTGGAATTCAAGAACTTGCATCTCCAGAGCTGGGTTGAAAAGGAAAATTTAAGTCAGCTTGTTGAACTCTTTTCCTTTGCAACATGATATGTTTGTTCATCTGTTTACGTATCTAGGCATCCTGTAGAACAAATGGGGTCTCTGTAGTTATATTTCTGTCACCCTTGCTATAACTCCTGGATTATGCTTAGCTGATCAGATTTTGTGTCCCTATGGGCTATGCTGTCAAAATGAACTTTTAATGGACGCTCCTTCCTCCAAGGATGCTTGAAGAGAGACCTGTCATTTCATGTCTTACCAGGTCATCAAAAATGACCCCTGAAACACTTTGACTATGAGTTTGGTTCATGGCAGTTTCTTTCTTCCTAGGGCTGCTACACTGTGATACTTAACTCTTTTGAGACGTACGTGTACCTTGCAGGAGCTCTTGCCATTGGCGTATTAGCCATCGAGGTATAGTGGAAGGTTTCATTATTACTTTTTAATAGAATTTGCATACCTTTTAATTGTAAATTAAACCTCAAAGCAGTTTGAGTTGGTATGCTAAACACCATAAATCATGTGGTTTCCTTTTTGTAGCTTCCCACAACATCCTCCTGTCTAATTTAGTTGTATATTATCTGTAGTAGTTTAAAAGTGGAAGAATTTATTTGAAGGGAGAAAATATAATCAGACACTGCCCTCTGCTGTTGGGCATAGTGTGAACAATAGATGCATCAGACATGACGAACTTGCTCATTCTGAATTCGCATCTAAAATGAATTCAAGGGGTTTTATTTATCTGAAATTATAAAATCAAAATAGATATATTTAATTATTAATTTTGAAATTCTTCATATGTTTGATAGTATGCCAGCAAAGAGGGCTTTTAAATGTATTTTTTTTTTTAAAAGCCAGTGATATTCAATAGAACATGCAAAGGATATTGACTGCTTGCATATACAGTGGTACCTCTGGTTACGTACTTAATTCATTCTGGAGGTCCATTCTTAACCTGAAACTGTTTTTAACCTGAAGCACCACTTTAGCTAATGGGGCCTCCTGCTGCCGCCGTTACGCAATTTCTGTTCTCATCCTGAAGCAAAGTTCTTAACCCAAGGTACTATTTCTGGGTTAGCAGAGTCTGTAACCTGAAGCGTATGTAACCTGAAGCGTATGTAACCCGAGGTACCACTTGTAATGCTAAAGCCAAGCTCCATGGTTTGCTTTAAATTCCATATTCCAAGCAATGTGCTGACACACACAACTTAATAATAATAATAATAATAATAATAATAATAATAATAATATTTATATGCCGCCCATCTGGCTGGGTTTCCATAGCCACTCTGGGCGGCTTACAGTTTGAATAATCTCACTTCATTCCTAATTGGGAAGTAAACCACAGAGGGGCTGAATTAGCATTGCAACCAAGCTAATGTTCCATGGTTTGTTTCTCCTAAACAGACTATGGAGCATTACTTTGGTCTGTTTCTCCCAAACAAACCATGGTTGGGAAGTCAGTAACAAACCTAGTTTGTTCATGGTTCATTTGCAGGCAGAGAAATCACATGCATAGCTTCAGATGCAACACTAAGCCAACTGTTCCATAGTTTGACCCTTTTTCCAGCTAGGGTAGCAGAGTAGGTGCACTTAAACTGCAAGTGCACATTAGTTCAAAAAACCCTGCAGTTTGGCTTAATGTAACACATGTTCACATCTGTGCTGTGTTCAGAATTCCCCAGTTAGGGGGCTCTTTGGGGGCATATTTGACTTTGTGCCCTTCATGCTTGTTTTGTGCTGTGCTGTGCTTGCTTTGAGAGCTGGACCACAGCTGAGTCTGGTCAAGTCTTTCTATTTTAATGGGCTGTTTTGTCTCATTTCTAACTTCTTCTCAGCTGTTTGCCATGATCTTTGCCATGTGCCTCTTTCGGGGGATCCAGTAGAAAGCTTTCCATGACCAGCTGAGCATATTCCGACTACACACTTTGAAGAAAGGAAAGAGAGAAGATGAACTTTTGTTTTTTGGCTAACAAAGGGGGGGGGGAGGACTGTAATATATGAATGACCAAAAGGATTGTACTTCAGGGGCTGGAACTTTGAGGTGCTGTGCACTATGCTGTCGTTTCCCAGGACCGTCATTCATCAGAAGCCACACACACTGGGTTGCACTAGGGGCCTACGAGACAGGAAGGGAGTGAGTTTTGGTGGTCTCCATGAAGCAGGATGCCGCGTGGGACTCACATCTTTAACATGATTGTGCTACATCAATTGGTGAGAAAGTGAAGGATGCCCTCCCCCCAAATATAAGTAGGATCTGGATTCAGCATCCAAAGGGAACTGCTCAGCCAAAGCATTGTGACGGACACAGGTCAGGCCAGTTTTAAACACAGTCCTCAGTCAAGATGGGCAGAAAACTATCACCTGAAATATCAAGATGCTTCAAGCTTTCTTGTGTCGCGAGGAATTGATAAATTCCTTCACCTGGAAACGTATAGGAGGAGCTGAGCCTGCTGTGTTGGACAATAGCAGAAGAGGCATCCTTTTCAAGTCCAGGAGGAGGATGGAATGAAATCAGAAGTTTAGTGCATACCTTTTCTTTGTCATAATGGATTTTCCGTTCAGTATTCTGTGAGAGGGGGGAAGACGAAGGCCGTTCTACAGCAGACTCCCTCACCATTGTTTAATTAAAAAGAAAAAGTGTTCTCATCTGTAATTGTTGGTGCTGTCTCCCTTAAGGAGAAATAATTATTTGTTTTGTTTTTAAAGCTTTTGAATGTTTTGTCACCATCATGTTACATGCAAATTATGTTGCCTAGTTTGGCCTTTTGTAGCAACTGATTAGCTTGTTGTCTTCATGTTTCAGTGTGTGCCTTTCAGCTGTGTGGAAAAAAAATATATCTTCCCAAACGGCAATGAAAGCAGTGAGAAACCTTTGCAGTTGTCCTTTGCACAGTTTCATTTGTGACTCTTGTACATTGCTTATGTTCTGAGCAATTCTCACTCAGTACTTCCCATGAGTTACGAAAAACCTAAATGGAATGGCTTATGCCCTGACCTGAATCTCTCCCATCTGTGCTGCCAGAGATGCTGGTGAGTTGTTAAGACCATAGTGAAAGTAATATGCTGAACAAGTGGCTTATGGAGACACAAACTGGCAAAGAAATATATGCAGCACCCAGAAGCAGCAGTAGGCAACTGGCAAAAGGACTGGGATATGGTGATACCACATGGCATGAGAGTTTGAGAAAGGCAACTAGTGAGGTATACTGGGAAGCACATCAACGAGCATTTATCTCAGAAACAGTGGAGGTTGCCCCACTTGAGGCAAGCAATGAGAAAATGCTTTAAAAATATATAATGAATCTTTGCCTAACAAATGACTTCAAATGCTGACTTGAATCTTCGTGTGATCCTTGACAATCTCTCCCATAAAAGGTATGGTTTTCATTTGAATTTAGTTGAGTTCTGCAAGTTGTCGAGTGAGGGAAATGCGCAGCACAACTGAAAAAATGGACGTTACAGTGTTGTTTGCTCCAGCTGGTGCCAGCTACCCAAAAACCCTTTAAGGATTTGTCTCCTCTGACCTTTAAAGTGAGCATGGCCACACTTTAAATGGCAATCATGGCAGACAAGGCAAAAGCTTCTTAAGCTATACCCAGGAAGAGGCTGCAGTGCCAAGTGGGCGACTCCACTGCTCCCGACCTCTTACTTGGGTCTGAAGAGGAGATTGTGAGCATGTTTTGCTGAACACCTTTTGCAGTCCTCCCCAACCCTCTGGAATGGTGTGTTTTCAACATTCCTAATCACCAAGAGAGCTGAATGTTCAACAGAACATTCAACAGAACATGCTTACAATCCCTGCTCCAGAATTATTTGCTCACTATGGAAAGAAGTTTGGGATGAAGGTGACAACGTGCACAACCCCACACCCTCTCTGTCAATGAGCTTAAGGACACCTGCAGAGAGCTTATGGCAGCTTGAGTCTAGGTTCCTGACATCACTGTCCTCTTTCAAAAGTTCTGTTGCTGTGGCCTGTGTTCTCCCTTGTGGGAGACGTTTTCTATCTCTCGCTGGCATTTGGTTTTCTCTTGCCTGCTTTCTTCAGTTTCCATCTACCTGCTTCATCTTCCCTGATTCTTTAAAGCAGTCATGTGCACAACCATCATTTTTGGCAAAGATAACACGAACAGCTTCAGAGCATTGTGGAAACTTGCTGAGATGGTCCCTGCCTGTGTACCTAAATGGCTAGTACTTCAGTAGTATCTTTCCAAAGTGTAGGCATCTGTGGCAACTGTGGAACACCACCAAGGGCTCACCCAGACTTCCTTTTGTGCTGCTTTTCTAGGCATAGCTCTGCACTTGAAAGCTCTGTGTCAGAACACTTTATTATTATTATTATTTTCCCCTAGTGCTTTCCCTGTGAAAACCTGCTCTTTACAGCTGAAACAGAGCAAATAGCAATCTGCTGAAAACCTGAATTGCCATTTGTTCTGAAGCAGAATAAAGAGTGGGGAAACCAGGTCAAAGAAAAACAAAAAGTGCTGGGACATGGAGCTTGAAAGTGCAGATTTGTGCCTACAAAGCATGGGGCAAAAGGTCAGTGTGAATGAGCCCCAACACTGGGAAGGAACCATTTGAGGGGTAAGGAAATGTTATGTTCATTTACTTGAACACAAGACTTCAAATAAAAAATATTTGCACCTTCACGGTCTAAAAGGAACAATCCTTTATCTGGTTGATTTTGTGGCTCTTGGGGGACCCAGCCATAGCCCCCTCCTGCAGGTTATTTACTTGCTACCTGGGCTGTGTTATGGAAAAGAACTCTCTTATCCAAATCTCTAATGACACTTGGAAGAAGCTCTGTTAAGTCCATTGCAGCTGACTTCCTCCATTTTAGCATTGGGGGGTTAGTTAGGCTGCAAGCCTGAATACCAGTGGCGTGCAGCAAATTTTTTTTGCAGGGGAATGTTTAGGGCCAGAGGCGCCAGCCTGCGAGGGCAATTGGAGGAACCGATGTCCTGATGTCACTGTGAGCATCACGCTGTCCTCCCTAAGCTGCACAGAAGCTTCCCGGGCTTCAGGAAGGATGTACCAGGGAAACATTTAGGCGACTAACCCAACCACCCTAGTCCACACAACTGCTGAATACCTGGAAGTTAATCAACTTCCCATTTGAAACATGAACTTCCAAGAAATTGAAAGCCTAACACTGGATTCCCAGTGCTGTACAAGCAGAGACCAGCACTGACTAGGTCCATCTAGCTGTTTCAGAGGAAGGGACGCACTCCAGCATAAAGCTCTCAAGCAAGTCCCACTGAAATGACTCTGAGCAGTTGAGGCATTGCACAACTCCCAAGTTTTGAAATGGAACTTGCAAAAAGAGAGAGAGCTTCACCCTCAAGTTTATGTCTGTAATCTGTTTTTGTGAACCTAGATGCACTCGGTTCCCCCCACCCCCATCTGTTGTCACTGTTGCAAGTGCCTGGAAAATGGGCCACTTGAAGTAAATGTTGAAATCTATTTGAAATGTTCCTTTTATTAGAAACCTAGAGCTAATTTAACTTGTATTCCCTATTGTAATGCTTTTTATATTGAAAGGGTTTTTGTAACATGAAACAGAACACTACGCCGAAACAATTCTGCACAGTTTCCAAGTGCATTTCTTTAGGAAAATAAAAATAAAAAGACAAAAATAAAGACTATGATACCAAAAATGGCTTCACTTTTTACATTTTAAAAAACCACACCTGCTATCTCTTTCTCACAGGAGTGATAAAACCTCGTGACAGTGATTTTTCCTAAAGCCCAAACAGCGAACACTAGTTCTAGCTAGGAGGATCTATGTCAGTCATGAAAAATGCATGTATTTTCCAAACCTCTGCTGACTTTCAGGAAGCCTTTTTGATTTTCAGGGGTGACTCTAGATGCAGTATGTTACAGGACAAATTAAAGTCAGGGATAAGCAGCTTTGAGGATATTACACTGATCCTGGACTGACTGCACTGGTTGTTGGTTAGTTTCTGGGCCTAATTGGTTTTGACCTATAAAGCCTTAAATGTTTCAGGACCGCAATACCTTGAGGACTCCAGATATACCAATCTGGACTTGATGTGATCCTCTTCTGAGGCCTGTCATGTGCCTCCCCCATGAGAGGTCTGGAGGGTGGTGCCACATAAATGGGCCTTTTCTGTGGGGCTTCCTGTCTGTGGAATGCTCACCCCAAGGAGGCTTGCTTGGCACCTTCATTAGGTATCTTTAGGCAGCAGGTGAAAATATTTTTCTTCAACCAAACCTAAGGCTGATTAACTTTTGTGGTTTTTAAATTGTGCCTGTGGGAGGGGGCTTATTGGTTTCTTTTGCTTTTATTATCTTTTCTCTTTGTAGTTTTTATGTTGTAAACCGCCCAGTGATCTTCGGCTGAAGGGTGGTATACAAATATAATAGCTAATGAACTAAACTAATAAAGTCCATAATGGAACTTTAGGGCTGCACAATTAGTGGGTCATAGAATTCTGTTGCCCTGGTGCAATAAATCCAGCCCTTTAAAAGAAAACCACTTTTTGTTGTTTGGCAAGTGGCATGGTAATGCCTTGGAAAGGGTGGGATGACTGACTGACCGACTAATGGGAAAGATGTATAAATTCACCGAACAGATCACCTCAAAGGCTTCAGTAGCTTTGGAAATAGTTTAAGTACTTCTGTTACTTTGCAAGCACTGCTTTGCTAATCTGTTCCTATTGTAATAGGAATGCAGCTGGGCTACTGTCACCATTCCTTATTTACCTGCTCCTGGTCATCAGTCCTGTTGAACTTCATCAGGCTTATTTCTGAGATACATCACAGGATTGCACTGTAAGTAACTATGCAGAAGACATTCAGAATACTGGGTGTTAACAGGTACAAGGTGAATTATGAATAATATTTGATTGGGAATCTCCCTCCCACCCACAGATATATATACTTAGATGAAAGAATTTTCAGGTCCAGGATTCATAACGAAGGCTCTGTGATAAGCCATTCATAAATTTGGACCTATGCCTCAAAAAAATTGTGCACACAGTTACAAAGTCATGTTTGATTTTGAGAAAGGTAGGATGAACACTAACCATGTGCATTTTATGTATAGGATAACTGGTGAAATGAGACTTGTGCAGGGACATGCAAGCAGTATGTGGCTGCAGCTGCGTTGGGTCTCTGTCTTGAGCATCCAGTCTTAGCTAGTCTTACATTAGCAACAGCCTACCACTGCTGTCAACTTAGGTTTGATGCCACTGGCATCCACCTCAAATGCTGCATGGCAGCAGCAGTTAAAAGCCACTTTATTACAGCAAGTACCATAATCCCATACAACCACGTCTTTTTAGTTCTCACTCTTGTTTGCAAAAGAGTGCAGAATTTTTAAAAGAGGTCAGCTGTTGAGGTGTGGGTTGGGAAAGAGGGACACACCCCTATTGCTGAGGTAGAATGAAATAAACTGGATATGCATCTGAATGGACAAAGAAATGCCCTGAGCATTAATGGCATTAGCATGGGGATTAGCTGGCCCTCAATATGGAATCCCAGCTAGTCATGCTGTGTAATAGAGGCCCCACTAGTACTGGGCAAAGCAGTGACCACTGGTCTGGGGAAATGTTCCCACCCTGCTTTTGTTGGCTGGGGACATGGCACTACATGATTCCCACATGGCTGAGATCATGTAGGGAAGAAGCCCTTTCAAGTTTAAAAACAGCACTAAAGCTACGACTGATCAGAGGAACAACAGCAGGGAACATATGTGGAAACCATGCAAGTGAAACCGCATTTCTGCAAATGATTAAAAGAAGCCCCCACAAAACCCCCCCACAAAAAACCCACTTTAGTAGCAGCAAATTAATCCTCACAGGGCAAAGCTATACAAAGGTTAATAAAAGGGAGACTGTATAAACATTGGGACCAGAAAGTAGAGAAAAAAGTTGCAATTTAGAAGCAGTTATGGTTCCTCCTTCCCCCATTCCCCCAGCTCAACTCATGATTTTTGGACATCAGGTGAAAGAAACTCCGAAAAGGCTCCTCTTTCTGCAGTCCGGTCATCTTCAAAATAGGCCCAGCCCCAGTCCCAGACCCTCCTTGATGCAAAATGCTCAAAGCCAGGCAGCAACTGCTGAAAACCATACTTGTTTCACATAGTGGACATACAGACGAAAGAACGGAGAGTGACACTTAAAACTAGCATTAACAAAATTGCTCAGGTTGGAGGAGTTAAACCTCACGCTGGACCACTAGGCACCATTACCCTGGGATTCTAAAGTCTACACTTGCATGATCAACATGGATATTCAGTTCAAATAGTTTTTGAGGACCCACTTGATGCGGCCTGGAACTGCAACATACATGGTAGTCCAAGTTCATGCAGACGTTTGATGCCAAAAGAAGGTAAAGAAAGTCTTCAGGAGACCACTGCAGGCAAAAGACGGTGCATGTTGCCAACAGTCCATGAAGGGTTCTTGTGACTTTCTGAGTACATTTTCTTCTTGCTGCTGAAGGTGTAAGGATGTTGTCTCAGTCTCAGAAGGGTAATGTGTGTGCTGTTCCCGTGTAGGTACTGCAGTCCTGCCACAAAGGTGGAGACACAGGCAGCTGTCCTAGATTCGCTGCATCCACTTCAAAATAGCTGGTCCATCTCGACACACCTGTCCTGAGAAACCGCCTTTAAATACACAACCGATACAGAATTCCTCCTGTCTCAGTTCAAGGGGAGTACAAAATGCAAAGACTATACTGTGAGGTGTATCTGTGGAGGACTGAGATTTGAAACTTCATTGCATTTATCAAAAGCTTTAAAAATGAGGAAATGTTAGAGCAGAGCCCAAAGTAATAAATAAGACTGGTCTGTAGGAGGATGGTAAACACTTCCCAATTATATTTGAAATCCCAACGAGGGTAGGGGGTGAGGGGAAGAGGAGGAGAGATTTCAAACGTTGGTCTGTTTGCCTATTTGGGAAAGATTCATTGGCACACTGAGAGAAACATCCTTCAACATAAAAACTATACTAGTCATTCCAACATCATTATTCACACTGAGATTGAGGCAGGAGATATCAGTGAAATATATTCATTGCTTTAATTTTGGTTAAGAATGAAATGCCAATTGTCAGAATGCCTCAGATGTTTGGGATGGGTTGTCCATCACTACTGGCAAACATTACAGAGGCCATCAAACCCGGAGAGCACCACTGATTCCACTTTCTAGCACAGCCAGTGAGTAAGGAGACTTTGCAGCCCTATGGCAGCCTCTTCCTCACACCAAGCAGGCAACTGATGTGCAAACATGCCTCTGGGCTCAGACCCATATCCAAAACTCACAATATGGTAAAAGTAAGCAATTCAGTTGGGGTATAATCCTGTGGAAAGTGACAGAGGAATCAGATGTATACAGCCTCCTGCACTGCTAATCTATTTCACAGAAGGCTAGAAGGACCACCACAATCGGGGAGTGGGGGCGGGAAGGCTAATACACATGTCATTCCAGCATATGCATTGAACTAGTCTAGCAAGTACATGCAACCACTTTCTATCATGGCCTTTTCCTGCAGTTTTCTTGGTTACTCAATTTAGGAATGTGTTCCCACAAAACTATAGCATTTTCCTTTTGAAAGGGCTGGTGCCTGGCAGCAATTAAACCATATAGTGCAGAAGTGGCTAATTCCTGGGCCTTCCAGATGTGGCTGGACTACAGCTTACACTATGCCTCACGGTTGGCCATGCTGGCAGAGGCTGGCTGCAGCTGAAGTTCCAACATAATCTGGAGGGCCACATCTTGCCCACTTCTGTTCAAGTGTATTACTGTGTGTTGCCATTTTTTGTAAACAAGAGATGGTGTGAACTCGCGGCTTCCTTATTGGTCCCTTGCCCCATTTCCTTTCTAACAGTCTCCATCCAGAATCATCTGAAGGCATTGTTGTAACATTTAGAACTAAAAAGGCCAACAGAATAAACCAACAGGAAGAGGGGTGGTAGGGTTGAGGTGGGGGGGGAGATACCTCACAAAACAAAGAGGCAGCAATAGCCAAATCTGATATTTTCACAAGAACTCCTAAAACCAGCTGGAATCATTTCTTAAAATTACTACAGCAAATGCTCTTTAAAAAAAAAAAGAATAGGTTGCATTCATAGCAAGGACATCACTACCTAAGGAATCTCTGACTTCCAACGTCCTAGAAGATGAGGAAAATATGGCCATAGAACTTCCTTTTGAGCCCTTTATATGGCAAGTCCCCAGCACACATTTCAACCAAAGGGAATGCTACGAAAAGCCCCAACAGCAGATGGTTAGTTGTAGAGAGAAGATTCCCAATCCGTTCCTTATACACAGAGCTGATATCACTTTCTTTGCCCTTTGAATGTCGTTTTGATATGATACTCTGTTTCCACGAGTATATATTTTGATCATGTGCCACTGCCTAGATTCACAGAGGAGAATGGCTACGAATAGCTGATCTTGCCCACCCACATCCCTTATCTCTGTTGTCCTGGCCTCTTCCCATAGGCACCATGGAGTCGTCTTGAACTCTCCTCTTCCACGTCCAGTGTGGTGGCAACAGCAGCACTGGATTTATTTATACATTGATGCATGCCGTAAGGAAGTCTGGCTGTTGTTTTTTTAAGAAAGAAAGAAAGGAAAAAAAGCCCCACAAAAATGAGCAAAAGGAATGCAGAAATTATGACAGGCCCTTCTCTGCACCAGCCCTCAGCAGTCCTGGAGGTTAGACTTTCTTGGGTCTGCGTCCAAGTTGGTATAATAATAATAAAGCTGATAAGTACAAAGAGGACGCCGACTGATGAGGAGCAATGTGGCTCCGTGTGACCCCGGCCGGCTCTCTCATCTTCAGGGTGGATGCTGTGTGACTGAAAGAGAGAGAGAAAAAGGCAAGAGGTTTGGAAGAAAGAAAGACACATTTTCAAAACTGTTGCCTGCCTCTGAACAGGTTCCAACCTCTCAGCTGTATTTTGGACTACCATCATCCTAGCTAGAAAACCAGGTCAGGATGATGGGATTGTCATAGCCAAGGTTGGAAACATGCTCTAGAACACCTAGAAGAAACATGGAAGCCACTCATGCTACTCTAGCGAAGCATGGATGCTTAGCAGTTAGCATGAGTTTGTTGCTTCTATTAAGCAGTGTCTATTGGTTCTGAGTGCTGCTGCCCCTCAGGCCCGCTTGCAGGCTTCCCAAAGGTTGGCTGCTGTGAGAGCAGGATGGCTGAATCCAGCAGGCTCTTCCTACGTTCTTGACTTGTAACAGAGAAACAGAGCTGGGGTGCTTGTTTTTGGTGAGAGACGGGTGCTGGAGTGGGTAAGACCTTGCTGAATGACACATCCCACTTCACATGAAGCTACTGATGCCACAGAAAGGCATTCTGTGGTGTGGGTTTCCTGCAGCAGCAGCAGCCTTAAGAGTGCAACCTATGACACATGTCTTCAACATGTTTCGCCTTTAAAAAATCAGGCATGCAACCGAAGCAGCTACGAGATTTTACTTGGCACTCAAGGGCCAAGTTGCGCTCTGGCAAGTAGAATCTAATTGCATACCAGCAAATTCAGGTTCCACAATTAAACTGGATTTAGCACCCTTACTTCCCCCTTCCTCCCCAAAAGTACTGTTTGCAGCATGTGAATCCCAATTTGTTTTGTTTCCACATGCTTCCATGGCACAGTTTTATTGGTTTTGCATTGAATTTTTGTTTTAATGATATTGTTTGTTTTTATATTGTGCGCCATTTAAGAGATACTTAAAATATCAAGTAGTTTATAAACGCTTCTAAATAACACAGCTGAGAAAACCAAGGAAACAAACTGGGGGAAAGACTTGCAATTCAGAAAAGCCTTAATACAGAGACATCCAAGGAGACTCATGTCAGCAGCATTCACCGTTCCCTGTTTTTGCTTGTTACAGGATCTCTAACCTGGGTCCTTGGCATGCATTTGTCTGAATACACCCCATCTTTTGTGTGTTATGACTGAGGGTTAGTGTGCTAAGTTGAGCTATTGCTTCACTCCTATTTCTATTCACCTGCTTTCTAGGGTTCTCTCTTCTGAAGGACAAGAAGTATTCCAGCTTCATAATATTGATTTTTAGGAACAAAAGCTTTGAACTTTCATGTTTGGTCTGAATGTTTAGTCTTTGTATCCTTGCATTCTCCTTTTGCAAAGAAAGGCCTGTGTGTCTTGGGCCTGATTAACCTCAGCATAACACCGCACCCTGTGTATCGAAGTTTCCCTTCCATGATAAAAGCAAAGGGAAAGCATGTGCCTGTGACCATAAAGAGGCATATTTACCCAAGAACTGTACTCCAAAGTAACATGCTTCTGTCAGCAGAGTCCAACGCATTATGATCTTCTCAGCTGTGTACAGGGCATTCCACATGATGAGGGAGATACCTAAAGATGATTGGAGGGAAAGGGATGACAGAAGGAAAGGGGAGGTGTCATCTACTGAAGCCACATGTAGAAAGACATAGCCTTCTAAGAAGTGCGTTTGATACAAACACATTAATATGCTCTTTAAAATCCTGCTATCATCATCATCAAACGGAAGTTATAGTGAAATCTCTTAAAACTGACCTAACAATATCAAATCATAAAGTGATATGAAAGTTTTGAAATAAGATTTAAGTTTCCAAAGCTTGCCTGGCATCTGTTATGATCATGTGCATTTTACACCCAGAAACAGAAACACACACGCACAATTTCCTCTTGAACTCTCCTGTCATAGAGGACCTTCTCTTATCAATAGGAGCACTACACATGCAATACCAAAGGCAAAGGAAGGAAGCCAACCCCTCCCCACCCTTAATGATACTGGCAGATGCGTTCATCCACTTCCACCAGGACATTTCTAGCTCTGTTGCAGCCTTTCATTTTCTGCAACCCATGGAAGAAGCACAAGAACCAAAAGCAGCCTGGCAAAAAGGTCTAGGGAAGATAAGACTGTATCTCATCAGGAGCAAAAGTCTGCTTGTATATTTCAAAAACAAAGAGTACCAAGGCAAAGCTAATGCCCGACACTAACTGCTGAGGAAGAGCAAGTTGCATTAGCTATTCCTGTCCCCTTCTTTGGCTCCATACACATTAAAAGACAGATGTGTTTTACCCGTTCAACTCTAGGCAAGAGGAAATACTCAGGCATTATGGGTATGGGGAGGGGAAAGTACAGTACTGGGAGATGTACCACACCATACATCTAAAGGACTAGGATGCCACTTTAAACAGTAATGGCTTCCCACAAATAATTCTGGGAGCTGTAGTTTGTTCAGGGCTCTGAGAGCTGTTAGGAGAGCCCTATTCCTATCAAAGAACTACAGTTCCCAGAGTTCCCTGTGAAGGGGGATTGACTGTTAAACCACTCTGGAAATAGGAGTCTTAGCACCCTTAACAAACAGCAGCTCTTAAAATCCTCTTTTTTTTCCTAAGGGGAGAGCATGACTGTTTAAAATTGTGGCATAGTGCTTTTTTACATGAGTGCTGTGAATGTAGCCACCGAGGAACACAAAACTGCTGCATGCCCACTTGCTACCACTAGGCGATGCTACAGGCTTACAGGATAAGTCAATAAAGAGTTTTCCAGCTGCACTAGAATTGCCTCTGACTACCAGACACAAGCCTGCAATTATAAGAAGAATGCATTGCCTTACTTCTTACGTAGTTGTGCCCAGCACAAGCTGGCTTTGTCTCAAAATATCTTCCAGAAAAAGCAACAGGAATGTGGCGCTATGGACACTGCAATAGTTCCTAAAGCAGCTAGCCAGATAGCAGGTAGTGCTTCTCCACCGGCAGGGGTGGGGCCGGGAGACAGATCCCCTGAACTTACAAAACTAGCTGACTGGTTGCTGGCATCCAGCTGTCTCACGTTGCAATGGAGGAGTGTGCCTTTGGGGGTATAAGGAAATACTAGCTGGCTTCTCCCTAAACCTAGTTTTCCAGATATATATAGTTTGTTGTTTTGTGGAGAAACATTCAATGGTGCTTGTTAACACCCACCTACACTGTAGAGGGTTCAATCTAGAAACGGTTTTACAAACTCTTCCAATGCTCATCTCAGAATAGCTTTTGGTATCTATTGTTTGGGAGCAAAGCCACCACAGCCAATCATTCGACTATTCCAGCTCCACAAGATGCACAACATGATATCGCAGCTCAGCTTACTGGCACAATTGCTACAAGTTTATGAAATCTGCGGTGAGCACCGTTCTCACCCCATTGTTTTGCCACAGCATTGAAGTGACCAGCTGCTGTAGTGACCAGGACAAAATGATTTCCCCTTCACACGTCACAAGACTTAACAGCCAGCTGTCACAATGTTCCCCACACCTTTTGCAGTATTTGCCACCTAAGGTAATTACCAAACTCTATCTATTGGTAGGGCTAGCCTTGCCAGTCAAAATGATGTGGATTCACCCAATGTCGCTGGTCCATCTCAGCAGTTAATCAGATATCAGGCCTTTTACCTTTTCAAAGGGGAGCTTGTGGTCACACCATATTTCACACCTGCTCCATGGAAGTGAACTGGGCGTATTGTAGTGGCAGGGCATAACCCCCACCCCAGGAAATACAGCCCCACTTCGGTAGCATGCACCCAGCTATCATCACGAGATGAACAATCGGTTAGCCAAGCAGCAATGCACTCACTTAGTAAGGCTCCTCCATACAGACGGATAGGTGTCTTACTGTTGACCGACTCTTCCTCAAAGACAGCATCGTAGAGCTGTTCGGGAAAGGCGAGAGCCTACAGGGAAGAAACAAACTTCAATGAAGAAAGCTTACGGTGCTTCACCCTGCTTCACTCAGAAAAATTGTCCTCAACTGAAGGGGGAGATGAGCATGCATGGCTAGGGAAAGAATAGATGCATGCAGATGGAAGCTGGAGCCCTGGTTAGGAAGAGGAGCAGCACAGCCACCCATTGCAAGGGTAAAGGCCAATGAAGTGCTAGAGCAAGAAAGAGGAGAAAGGGAAATGCTCATTTTAGGGTACCAAGTATGACTGGTTTATAGACTAGGATGAATAAATTTGTCAATTTTAGATGCTCATTTCCCCCCTTCTTAATTTCAGTTTTCCACCCTTCAGCATTTATTTATTTTAATGTCCTCATAAAAAAATTGTCTGCATTTAATTGCACATTTCACCTAAATGTGCACATTTCTGCAAACAATTTTCCTGAACAGAACGTATTTTGTATGTTGTTTTCACTCATGTATCCATTTTTAGGCACGCTTTCCCCCAATACATGCATCGAATTCAGAAAACTACAAGTGTCAAAGAAAAGCTGCATTTTGTCTTGTATGTTATTCCATAAAGTACAACATGTAAAATTGAACCAAATTCCCACCCCAGCTCAACTTGAGACTCCACCTTAGAGCAGGTCACTTACCATGATGGCAACCCCAGAAAACATGACAGCTGTCACAAACTGCCAAACCCTGCAAGAAAGGTCAAATGGGAACAGCTAAGCTTTTAACAGTCTAAAGACAACATTCTCCCCCAGTCAGTTTTATATACAAAGTGGCCACTTTTGTGTTTCTAAGGAAAGACATGAGGACAGGAATGGGGTGAAGGAATGACCTGTGGCCCTCCAGATGATGTTGATGGCAACGCCCATCATCCCTGGCCTTGCTGGAGGGGTTTCCCAATCCTGAATTAAGATAATCTCTGTTGACTGAAGCTAGAAGCAAAGAGTTTGTGAAAGTAAATATGGGGGGGGGGGATGACTGGACTTGTCTTAAACAATTTCACAACATTTGCAAATGTTACAAATGTTAGCATAACCCACTGAGAGGGGCAGGAGATTGACTGTCCCCTCATAAAAAAGGCCTTGTGTCCTGGCTGTGAACCGATTGTCCATCACTCAAGACTACGACAAGGTCTTCGGTGGTTGGGAGAGATACTGTTTTGAGAGTAGTCATATGTCAGTTAATTAGTGAAGATTAGATTGTTCATGACAATTATTTCTAGCTTCGATGCTAGGTCCATTAGCAAAGTTCCTCCACCGGGGGGGGGTCTATTTCAAGAGGAAAAGGCCAGAACAATGCCAACATTAACAACAACAACAACAACAATAAATAACAATGCTTTGCCTCTCAACTCATGAGCAGAACATTGCAAGCAATTATACATACTATGGCCACTGTGGGTGGCATTTTATGAAGAGGCATTTTTGCCTGCTCTTAATCTTCACAGCTTGGTTAGCTTTGTAACTCAGGACCCCTTTCTCTACAGCAGTCATTCTCCAGATGCTGTTGGGACTCCCCTAACCATTGCCTATGCCAGCTGGGGGGTCACTGACCAACATCTGGGTGGCCAGGTTTGGGAAATGATTTTTTTTACACTGCTTTGTTTACAATTTTATTTTATGCCAAAGTAGGTCAAATAGTAACATTCTTGAGAGAGCTAATCTGACCCCGTGGGCCAACATCCCTGTGAGGGTTGCTCATGAGAATGGGAGGTGCGAAATGTCCTAGGCACATCAGCAAAAACTTCCCAGCCTTTCAAAGACACCTCTGCAACTTTGACCTACACACAGTTAGGGTTTCTATATGCTCTATTCAGACAGGCCTTCTCCATTTTGGACAGCTACAAATGTAGGTATGGATCACATCTTGAAGCACCACCCAAACTGTCCCTCTGCTTGCAGGAAACAGCTGGCTTACTTTTCCCCCAGACCCCCAATTTAGTGTCCTTTAAAAGTGCTCACAGATGCCTAAAAGCTGCATCAAATATTCTGAGCTAGGACATCACTGTAATTGCAAGAAGTATGTTCTTCCAGAAACTGCTCTCTAGAAGCCCAGAATTTATTGTAAGAGGGTTCTTGTACCCATAAGCAGAACTAGGAAGTTATATTCCCTCTTTTGAACCCCTTTTACTTACAGCCATTCTCCCATATGCCAAAGCATTCATCTTTAAAAGTTACTGTGGCAGCACTGAAAATCCAGTACTGAGATGCACTAAACAGAGCAATATCCTGAGTTTTCAAGTGAACTTTGTGAAGAACTGTTCAGATGGTTAATACTACGCACACAAAAAACTCAGGTGAGGGACACAGTACTGCTTTGGTGAAACATAAGCATTTGCCTCCCGCATCTTGTACTGGTAGCTGCCTGCTCCTCTTGGAAATTGCACAGGTGGGAAATTTCCTTTAAAATCTATGGTGCAAGGAGATATGTGCCAAATGCAACAACCTAATATACTTCACACGAATTTGGAAAAATTCTCCACTCAAGTCTCTGCTATTCTTAAAGTCATTAACAACAATGAAGAAACAGCCTACATGCAGAAGTTCAGTGCCAATATTGCAGCACTTCCTTCAGCTCATTTTGCCCTTGGCTAGTAGTCTGAGCACAGAGATTCTGCCTGCAAACTTACCTGAGCCCTAAGGGTTCCTTCACAGCAAACTTGATTTCATTGCCCAAGACTTGGCTGATCTGAAATTCAAAGGAAAGAGTATGGTAACTGACTCAGACTCAGCCTGCAAAAACATTGTCTGGAAGGGGTAGGGGTGGTATAGAATCCTCGACTTACCACCCACATATTTTCCTACAGAGAATGAAGTGCAATATATACTTTGCTCTACAGATCTCAATTTGCAGAATTAGTCTGCAATGATTATAAGAACCACAGGGTGAAATTATGGCAGCTTAAATATTTTTCTGACATTCTAAACCAGAGATTGGAAGCCTGTGGCTCCCCAGATATTGTTAGACTACAACCACCATCGTTCCTGACCATTAGCCATGCTGGCTCTGAACACATGGGGGGCAGTTTCTATAGTCGGTCATAAGCCACACACTGTGAGTGACTCAAACCACACATCTGCAACCTCTGCAGACTCCAGAAATGTGCATAGCATTGGTAACACAGCACAGACTACAAGCTCTCCTTAGGATCTTAACTGTCACTAAGCAATAGCGTAGGCAAAGCCACTATAAAGTAAAGGGGCAGACCATTTCAACTCTAGAAAGTCTAGGTTTGAGCAGGGAACAAACATCCATACATTTTGTTTGAAGCAGATGAAGCTGCCTTCTAATCAGGCCATCAGTCAATTTAGCTGCTTGACTTCACAACGCTGATGGTTAGGGTTGATGGAGTTTTTAATCTAAAACATCCAATTGGTGAAGGTTGGTCTATGCTAACTGGCAGTGGCCCTCCAGGAATCTTTCCCAGCCCTACCTGGAGATGATGTTTGCATGTAATACATGTGTTCGGCCACTGCGTGTTGGGGCAGGCTTGGGTTGTGCAAGTTAAGGACCTGAGAGCCAGAACATAAAAGGGATCTGGTTGGCCGCTGTGATAAGAGAATGCTAGAATAGATAGACCTTTGGCCTGATGCAGCAGGGTTCCACTTTGTCCTTCAGATGAACCATATAAAAAGGGCAGAAAGCTGTAGACAACCAAAGAAAGTGAGGAGAACTGGATTCTTTACTAATACAGTACACAGCTTTGGTTCCAAAAGAGAGAGAGGCAGACAAACAGACAGACAGAGGCTAACAAATAAAATTTTGAATCCAGCAGTAGAGAGAAACTGAAACTGGAAAGGTGAGGTTCAGCACCTTCTCAAGAGTCCCATTCAGTCTTTACTAGATGCAAAAGTAAAGAACAAAAGCCCTTTTTTGATTATTATTTTTTGTAAGTAAAAGGAACTGAACAGTGAAGTTAAAGGTGATGTATTTTTTACCCTGTTGTAGAGATGCTCCATCCTGCAAAGTGAAGGGTCAGAAGGATGATGGGAATTGTAGTCCAGCAACATCTGGGAAGGCCAAAAGTCAGCCACCCCAATACTAAAGAATAGATCACAGCAGCAAAGTCTCTAGATACTCAATAAGAAGTACAAGTCACAGGAAAGAAAGGGGCCGTTTTAAAAGGAAATGAGTACAAAGAGAATTTAAACAGGCTTTGGTTACTTCCTGCCCATCTCCAGCTTCTCATTGCCAGCTGGGGAGAAAAATACAGTTTGCACATGCCATTCTTTGTTATTTCCTGCATTCAGTAAGTGACACAAAGGGAAATATGAAAACTGGCAAGTTGTGTGCACAGCAGAGAGAGAAAACTTAGCATCACTTCCTCTGGTTCATCTCCTGAGACTTCAAGGAGGGGCCAAGACAACACAGCTGATTTGTGGTGGTGAGGTGGGCTGAGAGAAGGATTAGTACTTCTAAAGTATAATGAGGAAATTGTGGGTTTTCTCCAGGCCTGGTCTTTGACATGGTGCTGAGTTTCCTCTTCAAGCTGATGCATTCAAATACTTCTGATGAGATGGATTCAGACCAAGTTGATTGTCAATTTCAATAAGTCTTACAACTCTCATGTTTGTGAGGAGGAGACTTGTAGTCTGGAGACACATTTAGTTTAGTGCATGATTGTGTAGCAAGGTTGACTCAGGTAGACTTCCCCAGAACAATAGCAAGTTCAAGATGGCCATGTCTAGGGTTTTGCCAAATTTAATACAGCTCTAACTCCAGGCTCTAGGGAAGTAAAACAACCCTTTTTGCCTAAATCTACTTTTAGAGCTGCAAGTTCTGAGTGTTAATAGTTAGGGTCCTAGTTTTCTTTTAAAGCTCACAGTCCTCAAATATGTTTTGAAAGCATGATGGGGGGGGGGGAGAGAAAGAGAATGGCAAGAAAACATGAAAATCCAAAAAGTGCTAAATTATTTCTCCAGAAGCTGCCATGACGTCTACGTCCATTTATGAGGAATTTTACACACACACACACACACACACACACACACACACACAGCTTCCAGGACAATTTGTCTCCTTAAACATATTTATTAAGAGGCAGAACCAATTTTAGAATAGGTTACTGCGTTATCTACCATCTGTACGACTAAAAGGTAACAGCTTAAAAAGTCACAGAATAGCTGTCATTATAAATAAGTTGCTTAGCAACCACTAGGATTCAGTGACAAAAAGGTCAATCCATTAATAAAAAAAAGCCGTGTGTAAAAAGCAGAGTGTGCACAGAGCAATGGGCATGAGTCACGTGGACGCAGGAGCCCTCAAATTTCCTGCCTTACCAAAGTCACCAGAGAGCTCTCCTGACATGGCAAAGTTGACTAAAAGCTTCAGCAGAAGCAGAGAACTACATGCTGCTGTGAATAGAGAAGAGAGAGATCCCAGGCGGAACCATATGATGGAGATTCCATACACCTCTATCTCCGATCCTTTAGCACCACTGACACAAAGCATACTAACACAGAGAGGAGCAAACGCCTTCCTACCGTTGTACAAAACCCCAGAGCTGAGTTTGCATTGTTATTCTTTCCCTTAAACAATTGGTATTTTTGAGTTTTCCCCTAAGAGTTATGGCTCTACTTATTTTTGTAAACAAGCAAAGTTAAAAAGAAGAAGAGACCTAGCAAGAGTGCCTCAGAACTTTCCCTTTGGGGTCTTGTTAAAGCACATTTGTTCAATGATTAATCAACACCAGCAACTTCTTGCTGAGTTCTAGGCTGTTATGGTTTCCTTCTATTTTTTTCCTCATTTGTTTCTTTTACAACTTTCTTTCAAGGTCCTAACAGCCTTAGGATATGCGCTTAAAGGATAAATAAAATTCTACTACGAACTCTCTGCACTAGAAGTCATTAGCAAACAGGACACCCACACTCCCTTCAATTTGGAAGACGTGATAACTGCATTTTTTCTGCACATACCTTTCCAGTTTTGTTTCTTCTCTAGCCTGCTTAACTTACCAAGAAGTTACACCTGCTACTTCAGGTGATGTGTTTGGATCCTATTTGTAACCTAAGAGTAGTCAACGTGCTAGATCTTTCTAGGCTACAACTTCCACCCACCCACCAGATTGTTGACCAAAGAGATGTGCGCCTGGAGGAATTTAGACTTGCAAACGGATTGGGTGTGTTTGTGTGTGTGTGTGTGTGTATGTGTGTGTGTGTCCTGGATAAAGAGAGAGAATCCAAACCAGGGATATAAGCCTACACCAGGGGTAGGCAACCTAAGGCCTGGGGGACGGATGTGGCCCAATCGCCTTCTCAATCTGGCCCGTGGATGGTCTGGGAATCAGCAGGTTTTTACATTAGTAGAATGTGTGCTTTTATTTAAAATGCATCTCTGGGTTATCCGTGGGGCATAGGAATTCATTCATTTTTTCCCTTCAAAATATAGTCCGGCCCACCACATGGTCTGAGGGATGGTGAACCGGCCCACGGTTGAAAAAGGTTGCTGACCCCTGGCCTACACCATAAAAAGGAAGGGAGGGAAGCAAACCAGCGCTAACTTCTTGTTAATTTCACCACAGTCATCAAGTGGAAATCCCACCCCCCTCTGGCTGCCTTTGGTTTGTGGAATATTTCAGGAGGTTTCAGTTAGATATTTGCCTTTAAGTGCAAACTGAACTGAATTTCTCCTGCATCCCTAGTTCTAGCAGGGGATAGATTTAAAAACGCCACCCCCATTATTCCTGGGTCATCAGACAATGAGAGCCCCTACCGGCTCTCACTACCTGCTACATATTCCGAAGTTGTTTTTGCATTCCTAAATGTTGCGCCCAAGAGCAGAAACTGCAGCCAAATCTACACTATACATCTTTATATTGGTTTTATATAAATTTTAAGTTATCACAGATTCCCTGCAAAGAATTGTAATTTGTTGAGGCTGCTGAGAGCCCTCAGCTCAAGATCTCCAGCCTCCCACACAGAACTGCAGCACCTAGGGGAAAGTTAAAGAATATTACACCAGTTCAAGTCTGTATTGCAGTTATGGCTTGCGCACAAAGTGGTAAAGAACAAAAAAAACCCGTCTCTCAACACACAAAAGAGCTCCGATAGCTCGAGAGGATATATTAAGCTCCTAACTTGAGTCCATGACAAATTACACACTTTTTGTAGAACGGCTTTTGGACAGTCTGCATTTTGAAGCACAGCTTTGATCTGGGATATGTGGAAAATGCCCAGAGAGAAAGATTGGTTTTGCAGATGCAGGAAAAAGAAGAAGTGATGATGTATGGCTGCAGCACTGAAAGAAAAGAACATAAGAAGATCCCTGATGGATCTGGCCAAAGGCCCACCTAAACCCTGCATTCTTTTCTTACAGTGACCAACCACATACTTGTAGAATGAGGACTGTGTATGCAGAAGGTATATAGGAATCAAACTTCTCTGTTCATGGGGGGAATAGAAACACTTTACAGAGAATATTTCTACATCTACAAAGACACGTCTCTAATGAGGTGAGAACTGCAGCTTTAACTAGCCACCCCCATAGGCCTTGTAATTCAACCCACGGCTGTGAATCTATCGTCTCCCGCACTAGATTTTGCAATTAATTGAGATACACAAGAGCTCTGTTTGTTCGGTACAACACACAACTGTTGTACAATTGATTAGAAAGCAGGTTGAACAAGATAATAATTGTAGGGCAAACTGAACAAAAGTCTGGAATATCAAATTCCTTCATCTCTCCTCTGCTTGGCTTCCTATATAGCCTTATCACTGCTGATACTCTTGAGGAGCTGCAATTATTTCTTAGCTTAAACAAAAGGTCTTCCCCCTTTGCTACTAACTTTAGCATGAACTATTAGTCATTCCATTGAGCCTTAGGGCTGAGAAGGATCCTAAAGACCTCCAACTTAATTGTGGGTGATAGTTTGTTAAAGGTCTTCCCATTGCTGGGCAGTAACCAGAATTGCAGCCCTTTGCTGAATGCCAACCTCCCCAACCTTCAGATAACCAGAGCAGTGTGAAAACTGAAATGTTTGTTACCTTTGACCTATGAACTTCTCCATCATCATCCTCCCCTCCAACCCCTAGGATCTTGCGTGTCTTCAGGCGGCTCACAAGGTCTGTCTGGCTGTGCTTCTTCATCAGAGGGGGAGGTTGCTTGGTTGCCATGGTGACTCACAGGTAGTCGCTGGCTTGGGCAGAAGCTGAAATGAGAAAGACTAGAGGTTAGAGAAAAGCAGGGTCAAATCCAGCCACAAATTCAAGGAGGAGATGCATTTGGTTTTAATGCAAAAACGATTTGATGCAATGATGTATTGCATCCCAAACCAACTGTGTTCTTCGACCATGGAAGAATTGGCATTCATTCAGTCCTATGCTTACAAAATTTAGAAATCCTCCTCAATTTATCTTGTGTATGTCAAGGATGAACCTGTGGGTTTAGATGCTTAGCCAGTTGGATAGGTGCATCCTTATTTACAAAACACACAGTAATTAAACACTTGTTCCACTCCTAACTTCACCTTCTTTCAAGGAGTTCACAATATCAAATGGGGCTCTACCCCAAGTTTACCCTATAAACACTCTTGTAAGTCAGGCTAGACAGAGAGAGGTTGGCTGGCCAAGGTCAACCAGTGAGTAGGAATTGAAACCAAGGTTCCCCCCACCCCAGTCCTTGCCTACCTCTCTGACTAGTTCACCACACTGATCACCCTGCTGAGAAAACTGGGCAGCAGAGCAGAAGCAGCCCTGAAACCTACCCAGTTCTTCTCCTTGTGGGTTGATATTTTTGAGAGTTTGCAATTTCTTCCAGTTCCGAAGCCAAACACGACTGGAATGGAAATTCACTGAAGGCAGCTGCAGAATAAACTTTCTTCTCACAGCATCTCCCAGATAAACTTCTGCTCTATGTGCTTTTATCTCATTAATTATAGCGGGTGGGAGAGCTTTGTTATCAGCCATGAGTCTGCCTTTGCTTCGGCTGGCAGAAAAGTGGGGAGGCTTGTGAATTCAAGGGGGGGGGGGCGGTTATACTAGGATAGTCATTTCTGGTTCTATTAAAAAGGCAAGAATGTGATTTCATTTAGTCATGCTAGTGTGTGCTCATATGGCCAAGGCAGAAAAAGAGATAGTACAAGTTAGGAGGAGGAGTTGCGGTGATGGTGGTAGCAGGAGTCCATTTGCAAGACACCTACAAGATACAGTGGTGGTGCAAGAAGAAGAAAAATAGGGAAGAACACAGCACATTTTAGGGAAGGGGAAACTTTGCCCTATATGCTAGATTCCAGGAAGAGAAATAACAACATTTCACGATAGTGCTCTCATCCAAAAATCTTATTTTCTCAGAATATGTGCTATTGATTTTTATGGAGTTGGCCTTCAAGTAAACATGCTCAACATGCAATGCTTCTTCTGAAATGTCACATTTTTGATTCAGTTATAATCTGTATGCTGAAAGTGCTTCTCTTCCTTGTAACCCCAGGGGTCCACACAATGTGGCCAGGCACAGCTACTTGAGAATGCAGGAGCATGCAGGAGTTCTTACCACCTATGGCAAGAGGACACTAAAAGCCACATCAAACCAGCCAGCCACATTTCAGACATCCCCCCCCCCGTGGTTCCCCCACACAGTCTCAAACTGTGCTTCCTGGGCAGGCAGGCAGGGAGGCCTTCAGTGCTGGGATCAAGTTAGAAGTGGACTTCGTTGCTCTGGAACATCTACAAGTGTGTGCCTCTCTAGCAAAATAAACCAGCTGTTCTTGGTTAAATCACACGTCCAATTCCTGTACACCTTAGAAGAAGAACATCCCATCCACTTCCTATTAAAATAGTTCTAGAGCAGGGAAGGGGTAGCCCTCCAGATGTTGTGGGACTATAGCTCCCATCATCCCTTACCTCTGTCCATGCTGCCCAGGACTGATGGGAGCTGGAGCCCAAAAACATCAAGAGCCACAAAGTCCCCAGTCCTGCTCTAGAGTTCATTGCCTTCTGGTTTTTTCTTTTAAATTGTACTGTCAAGCATTGTTGTTGTTGTTTAATGTGTGTTGCTGGTTTCTTTTTGCAGTGTTTAACACAAGGCTGACTCCCCTTGGGCATTTTGAAATTTGATGTAGTGCAGTAAACTAGGGCAACAAGAGATTTAGCCAATGGGATGGAAAGAAGATCAATCTGCCCAATACATATACAGTTCCCTTTTCTAAAGATAGCTCACGCAATCTCAAAACATGCTTGACATACTAAATAACAGCAGAAGTTCTGGTATTTGGTCTACACAAATTGTATTCTAGATAGCTATTTTATCGCTTTTTGTTAAGTGAAAAGAGAGAGCGGAAGTAAGTGCATAAGTATAATGAACCTAATCCAAGCATCAAAGCAAAGCCAAAATGCTAACATGCTAACATGCCCTAAAGCAGGGATAGAGAACTGGTAGGCCTCCAGATGTTGGGGCTTTGATTCCCATCAATCCAACCCAATACGGCCATTGTTTTAGTTAAATACGTTGTTTAAATTGTTATTAAGGAAATGATTATTTTCCTCCTTCCAATAAAGTACAGCAGAAAAGTTGTCCAAATATAAACAGTTAACTAACTAAACCTACCAATAATTTCATATTTAACTGTCTATGTATTTCTAATAGTATAACCAAATCAGTAATTTTTGATATAACTGTAAAAACTACTCTGAAAATTTATTATTCCAAATATGAAACCTTCATCTGGTGGTAAATATTAAGATTATACCAGCAAGAATGAGTCTTTCGGGGGGGGGGGGATTTAAATCAAGTCTTACTGACTAGTGATTTAAATTGATTTGATTTAAATCAAATCCACCCTGATCCTATACCTAACTAAGGTGGAGATACAAAGTGCCTTGCTTGCTTTTTCATCTCAGCAGGAGAGACACACCAATACGTCTCCCCCACCAAGGGAAGGGGAGCAGGAGGAAGGAAGGAAGTAGGAAGTGAGGTCAGCAACTCTCAGAGCATCAGTCCAGCACCTGATGTAAGGTCAGCACAGATTAGGTCAGAAAGTAGCGTCTAAGAAAGCTGGATGTTCCTCTCCCTGTGCTCTCTTACCCATGCAGACACGTCAGCCTACAATGCAAGCCGAGATGCATACCAACATTTCCAGCACAACCTTCCTCGAACATACCTAGAAGTATCGGGGCAATGCTCAAAGAATTGGCTCATTTCCTGCTGTGAAAAGCAAAAACTTTTACAAAACAGAACAATACAAACTGTGAGCAAAAAGCTGCTGGGCTTGTTTCACACCAACATATACAAAAGGTAAAGTTGAAAGTCTAAATTTTTAAACTTTCAGCTCAGAATTATTATTGTATTTATTTATATGCTGCCTTTTTTTCTTAACTGGGGTTCAAGGTGGCTCACAGACCAAACAGGAAAAAAGTTAAAACATAGAAAAGATAGTCATTAAAAAAGCAATTTAGCACTAACAGAATTAAAACAATATTTAAAGGATCTATTAAAAATACAGACAACAGCAGCAACAAACATCACAGCACTTGCCCTTTCCAGTCAGTTCCTAAAGGCCTGATGGAATAAAGAGCTCCCCACCTGTTGGTAGAAGGACAACAAGAAGTGTGGGATGGAAGGAAGGAAGGAAAGTTTTGGAGGGATTGATTAAAGGAGTTGTTGAATGTTAAAGGAAGCAGAGGTGTCTCTAGTAGCAGAGTTTTAACCAATGCTTTTTTCTTTAAAAATAAATGTTTAGGTGTACTCTCGTTTTGACTCAAGAAAATCACCATTTTATAGTTCAAATTGGGAAAAATAAATACAGTAAATGGACAAAAGTACAAATATTCACAAAATGTTTAGGGGTATGCGTACCCCCAGAAAAAAGCACTGGACATAACTACTTCACCATCTTTCCCCCATCAAAGCATGAGGCACATAATAAGAGCCATATAGGATCAGACCAAAGGTTATCTAGTTCAGCATCCTGTTATCAAAGTGGCCATCCAAGTGAAGCCCACATGAAGCACAAGAGACCAATAGCATCCCCCCCAAATACAACCAAGTTAGCAAACTCCTTGATTTAGCACACACACAAAAACCTGTACCACAATTGAGTTCTAGTTGGCAACCCAACAAAACAGCACTAACAAATACTGTCATCATACTTATACGAGGTCCAGGTGTTGCTTGCACTGCAGAGGCATGCTAAACAAAGCTCAGTCTAGCAACTTCCTTGGTAGTTGAGTACTAGTGTAGAAAAGCCTCTGGAGGCCATGAGCAGATATTCTGAGTCTTGCTTTAACATCCATTTATGAACCAAACACACCCTGAGAAAAACTCTGGGAAGGTCTGCTTCACAACTTCAACTGCTGCTGTGATGATTCCATATCCTGGATCGTTACACTTTCGAGTTAAAAGATTTATATTCAACAAGTTCAAATTGCTTGGAGTGCGGCATGAGACGTTTGTGTATGGGACTACTGACTCAATCACTAGCACAGATTAATGAGCATTAAATTTATGTTCAAGGTGCCCAACTCTTGATCTCTAAACAAGGAGTGCTGAATGATATATTTTCCTCACAGGTCAATACTTTTTTTCCATTTGAATGCATCATTGATTAGACTAGATGAAGGCATTTTGTTAGACTGTCCAGAGTGTGTGCCCAGAATGTGTATCCAAAAGGTTGTGCTTTTTGTTTGTTTGTTTCACCTTACTCCCACTGAAATACGCATTTTGCTGCAGGACCTGATTCTGCCATTCCTCTCCAATACGCCACATTGTAGGGAATTTTTCTAAAGTCGCTGGAGCAGAACAACAGCTGAGAGCCGTCAGGCCCCATCAACACAGGCATTCAGTAAAGCCGTGAAGCCTCATTTGTTTTCATGGCTTGCTGTTAGAATGATTTTGCCTGAAGCTGGTCTAACTTGGATAATTTTTGTACCTGGGTGGTGTGTACTTCTGGTTTTTTATTAATTTCATTGGAGATTGTAACAGTAATTGCATTGTGTTACACAATGTGAGCCACCTTGGGAGGATTTCTTACCTTTAAGGGGATTTCTTGCCCTTCAGAGGTGGCCCAAAAAATCTATTTTAAATACAGTGGTACCTCGGGTTAAGTACTTAATTCGTTCCGGAGGTCTGTTCTTAACCTGAAACTGTTCTTAACCTGAAGCACCACTTTAGCTAATGGGGTCTCCCGTTGCCGCCGCGCCGCCGGAGCACAATTTC